TACCGGTATTATTTTTTAAACAGTTTCTCAGTGACTTCTTCCCCAGTGCTTCAACTGTCCTTTCGTTTTTTATTTTTATCTTTTGTGGATGCCAAGCTTTTTAGACCAAGTTAACGGCCTTCTAGGCTTCCTCCACGTGGATAGGAGTCACTTTTTGAATAATAGGAGTTCTATGTGTGTGTGTGTGGGCGGGGGGAGGGGTCATCAGGATTCCAGAGACACGTAGATGGGGCCTGGCCAAGAAAAGGCTGGGAACCACCGCTCTGGACAGACGTTTCTGCCCAGGACCAGGGAAGGGACTCACAGCAGGCTGTGTGAGGGCCGGGACTGGACACTGAGTGGGACCTTTGCATGTAGATATTGTTACTGTCATTTGAACATGGTCACACGCCTCACAAGGACTTTGGATCAAGTTGGACCACACACTCCCATAGATCGCCATGGAGCAGGGAAGTCCTGCAGACGCGCTGACGTCACAGCTGTCCGTCCGTGGTGGAGTCGTCACCCGCTGAACAGTAACGTGCCGCCAGGCCGGTGCCCACACCAGGAGCTGGGGCGGGGTCTCTAGATGTGTGCCGGTGCCGGGCAGCAGCATGCTCACCTGGACCCTGTTCCTTCCTCCCCTTAGCCAGCTGTTTGCTGCTGTCCCCTCCTCAGCCCCACTCGAGCCTCCAACTGAGCCTTTAAGTTCAGGGTCAAAGCTGCTGACACAGCTCGTTTCTGTGCCGGCCTCAGCCGGTTACTCGGCAAACTGCACTGGCTTCCTTGATGGCCAGATCGGGGTCAAGGCCTTAATGTTCCACCTGACTCGCCTCTAATGCACATTGAGAGGAATGCTTCCAAACTGCGTCCCCCCAAAAGCAACCTCCCCACCTCCTTTTTAACGCTTCCTGAGAGCAGCACTATCAGCAGGGACACCTGGGGCTGCATCTCAAGGGTGCTGGGACTATGCGATGGTTAGTGTGTCTCCCTCGGGACAGATGTTCTCATTTGTGGGAAACATTTATGGGGTGCCAGGCCCTGAGACACCACCTGTGATGCCTGGGCCGGTCTGAGAGGCTCTGCCCATTTGCTATGCTGATGCTGTTCTCCGTTTGCTGTGATCAAGAACGTGAGGCCTGGTGCAGTGGGGAGACTGCCCTTCCACAGCCACCCTGGCCACCCTGTCCTCCCTGCCCTCCCGATGACATTGGCACTTTCCCCTTGGCCCTGCCTTAGCCTCAGGCCCAAAACTCGGCAGAAGCAGGAGCTCAGCATTGGCTTCACGGAGTCTCTTGGGCAGAGACGGGGCCCAGAGGAGCAAAGACCCCAGAGCAGGTGGCAGGATGCTCCCAGCGGGACTGTGGCCTTCAGGGCCCCTGGGGGAGGACAGAGAGAATTACAGGCACCAGCTGGGAGCTGACTTGACTTCACCTTGAGCTGCTAGGAGACACGTAGCAGTGAAGGAGAGGGACTCCTGGGGGCAGGAACCCAGCACCAGCAGATGGGGTCTCATGGAAAGGCCACTGTTTCCAGGCTCCTGCCAGCCGTCCACTCCCCTCCCTCAGAGCAAACCAGCTTTTCTTCCCCAACAGCACCCCCTGGTGGTTAATAAGGAGTAACCCTAACACCCGCCCTTTTCACCCTCGGGGGGGTCTCTGCTCATTTTCCTCTTAGAGTTTCTCATTTTTGTTACAATGCTCTTTTCTTGTGCTGCATAGTCCCCCTCCCAAATATGGACCACTTACTGTGAGGGATCCCTGTGTCCGCTCCTGCATCCCCCCGGGAGTGGTAGGGTCCAGGGCAGAGCCGCCACCCGAGTCTGGAAACAGATCCACGGAGTTGTGAGCGAGGGTCCTCGAGTGAGAGACAGTGAGCTATGCTTTCAAGCGTTCATGGAAACCACGGAAGCCTTTCACGCTGCTCGCGCTGCTGAAATTATTTGTGAACATGTACGTCTCTGCATGTCGCACTAACTCACATCTGAAGACTGCACTTCCTCCCAAGTGCTGCCGGGAGCGTGGCACGTCCTTACCGTGCCAGCCAGACAGGGCTTTCCCAGAAGCACAGCCCACCCGGGGAGTTAAAGGTTACACTGAGTCTCTTGACCTCATTTTTGGTTGATATGTCACTGATGTGTAACACAGTGTCAGGTGTGCAATGTGTCGACCAGGTAGTTTTACACACGGCATGTGATTCCTACCACAGGGTTAGCCACCACCTCTCCCAGGTCATGTAACTGTCATTTCCTTCCTGTGGTGAGAACAGCCATGATCTCTCTCTCTCAGCAGCTCTGAGGGATACAGTACAGCATTGCCACTAATCATGTTATAGCAAATGTGCATGAAAAATAGGTATTTGCTCATTCAACACTCATTGATATCTATCCTAGCCAAGCCTGTTCTTAAGAAATTATGTTCTGGTGGGAGAGCCAGACAGATGGTGCAAGAAACTGATAAGTTACTGTGGAGTCTTTAAGTCTGACCTGCTGGAGAGGAACATACAGCAAGGGCGGGAGGAACGGGACATATAGCAAGGTCAGGAGCCTTGACTAGCAGTGCAACTCGAGAGCAGTCAGGGAAGGCCTCTTTCCAGGTGGAGATTCAGGAGAGGGCTTCCACACAGAATGTCAGGTGTGAAGGCGGGAGGCCTTGGGAGGGAAAGGAGTGGGGGCCTGAAGACCGGAGCGTGGAACAGCAGCCGGAAGTGGGGACAGCCGGTGTGCAGACCATTCAGAGAACATGCGGGTTTCTTCTGAGTGACAGGAGGCTGCTGAAGAGAGGGGCTGTGCGGGGAAGATTGGAAGGCCCCCGAGGGGGGCGGGAGCCAGCAGGAGATCCTCAGGTCTAGCTCACAGACAATGTGGTTCAGAGACTGGGGTGCATGTGGCTTTGAGTCTGGAGCACCTGCTGGTGCCATTTGCTGAGATAACCTTCCGGAAAAGGGCAGTGGCAAGGACACTGTGTGCAATGTGGGCAGGTGTCTGTCACACATTCCGGGCTGTCCCAGAGGCAGCTGGGCAGGTACAGGCCAGGGAGAGGGCTGGACTGAAAAATAAATGTGGCGTCATCTGTAGAGTGAAGGTTTCTTAGTTGTGGGGTGAGAAAGAATCACCTGGAGATGGAAAGAAGTGGAGAGAGAACAGACTAGAAGGAAGCTAGAGAAGGGGAGGTGCAGTCTCAGGGACAGGGAGAGGCGCAGGCACACCCAGCACCCTGGGCCAGGATTGAGGGCAGTACTTCATTTAGTATTCAAACGTGAGCTCATCTGTATGAAATTAGCCCAAAGAGCAGCAAGTGGTTAAGGTTTTCCAAGTCACTTGAAAGATACTATCTGACCTTCTGGTAAACTGACACATCTATACTAATATGCTAATTAGACCACCATCTTCCAGACATCCTTCCAGACGTCCTTCTGGACAAAGCCATGGTGGTGGGGGCCAAGGCAGAGGCAGATAGGGGTGATCAGGCCAGTAGGGGAGAGCAGTTAGGGGTGATCAGGCAGGCAGGCAGGCAGGTTTAAACCAGCAGTTGGACATCCCCTGAGGGGTCCCAGATTGGAGAGGGTGCAGGCCAGGCTGAGGAATCTCCCCTGCCCCCTTGTGTACAAATTTTGTGCACTGGGCCTCTAGTCCTAAATAATAAAAGGCTAATATGCAAATTGACCAAATAGCGGAATGACTGGTTGCTATGATGTGCACTGACCACCAGAGGGCAGATGCTCAATGCAGGAGTTGCTAAGCTGCGGTGACTAGGCAGCTGCAGTTCTTAAGTGACTCACCTGGAACCAGAGAGGAGGGAGCCCAATTCCAGGGTATGTCACCAGAGAACTGCCCTCTTGCAATCCAGGACCCCTCAGGAAATGTCAGAGAGTCAGATTTTACCTGATCTCTGCAGACCAGGCAGAGGGACCCCACCAGTGCAATCCATGCACTGGGCCTCTAGTTTAAAAATAAATGGCACTAGGGACCTGGTGCCGACAAACCAACACTCAGCTTCCCCCAAGTGGGACACAGGCCTGGTCACCACCCCAGAGCAACACCCCACCAAATTGCAGCCAACACTGCCAAGACCCCATGCTGCAAAATGTGGCCCACAGCCCAGCCCAGCTTGGTGGCTATGGGGGCTAGGTAATAGCAATGCCTGGCTTCCTCTCCCTAGCAACTACCTTCCTTGAAGTTTCTTCAGCCCAGGAATCCTACTTGCTTTATAGCCGGGTGTAAACATTTTACAGTTTAACCAAATGTCTGTGAAGCTTTTTCACATGTTTCATCTCATTTGATCTGGCTGGGTGGGCGCTGGACTCAGGCTCCTGGCCAGCACTCACCTGCTGAATGCTACCCAATTTATCAATAACGTCCCCGTGGGTGGACACACAGCACCAGCGCTGGTTTTAATAGTGTTTATATCCCAGTGAAGTCCTCACCCAAACTGGCGATTCTAAGCTATGGCGTGGAGGCCGCGAGGAGCCACGTCCCCCCGCCCCCACCACCACCACCACCACCTGCACCAGCTCCCCTACTGCTCGTTTTTCAAAGGCATCATGAGTCAGCAACACAACCCAAACCAAAGTCCACTTTAAAATTGGGAATATGACCAACTTTTAATGAACTGGAATGTACCAACGCGGTAAGCAGAGTCACTGGTTTCCCCACAGGAAGAGGTATCCCCATCATTCTGGACATGAATGCAGAATTTCTACTAAACATCGCGGAGACCATGACTAGTTCAGTCTCCACCACAAGGGACCATTTTTCACATGAACTGAGGTCCACTATCCTGCCATGTCCCTGCAGGCTGCAGTGGGCACACCCCGTGGCTCTGCACACGTGGCGGTGTCCTGCTCCGAGGTCGTGAGTGCGAATCCCAGGACGGGAGTGAGGCCTGCGGTCACAGAGATGGGACATTCTGCTGCTGTGGTGACAGCTCAGGGCACAGGGCACCCCACCCAGAGCTAGGGAAACCATCGGCAGGGATTGTTTTCTCTCCGCGACGTGTGTGGGCTGGTCCCGGCCATGGCTGTCAGTGGAAGGAGGCCCGCACCTGGCGGCCCTTCAGGGGCTGCGGGGGCCGGTGGTTGCTCAGCAGGAAGGCGGCCACGTGGCCCTCGGGGGTGCACAGGAGCCTGCGAAAGGCAGCCAGCTGTGGGGAGAGAGGCAGCGTTAGAAGGTGACCAGTGTGAGTGTGGTGCCCATGAGCCCAGAAACGGGTGCGCTGAGCCAGGAGCTGCAGCTGCAGGCAGGTCTCCTTGGCCTGGTTCAGCCTGCAAGGCCGCCCGGCTGACAGCTCAGCATCTGGAGGTGCCTCTGGCTTCCGAGCGCAGGCCATGGGCCCTCCTTACCTGACGGGATGGGGGCAGGGTCTGAGGAGGGGCACGGACCTTCCTAGCGGGGACACAGGCCAGCTCTGCCTCCCCCCCCCCCCCCCCCGGGCCTCAGCTTCAGTGTCCTCGACTCCAAATGAAGCCTTGGATGGGTCACCTCAGGAGCCACAGACCACTGGGGCTCCACATTGCAAGCCCAGTACTCACGGCAGCCATGCTCATCCTGCAAGCACTGTCTTCCTGAAACTACAAAAAGCTGCTGGCTTCCCCTATTCTTGTGCCTGTAAGCAACTCTCTATGGAAATCCTAAGGCCTTCAGCCTCTGGTCACGTTTAAGCACAACTTAAGTGGCACACATTTCTCACCAAAAGGGCTTAATTTTGCTCATTACAAGAAAGTCTCTGTGTCTTACAACTTCACGCAGTAGACAGTATCAAGAAGAAAACAGAGGCTGCTAGTCACATCAAACGACATTTGACACTATAAAACGCTTCTGATTTTCCTAAGAAGAGTATATATATATATATATATATATATATATATATATATATATATATTTACAGAGAGGGGATGGGAGAGGGAGAGAAACATCGATTTGATAGTGAAACATTGACTGGCTGCCTCCCGCACTCCCCCTACCCAGGCATGTGCCCTGACTGGGAATCGAACCTGAGACCTCTTGGTGCATGGGACTACGCTCAACCAACTGAGCCAACAGGCCAAGGTGAGCATTCTTCTATGTGTAAGCACACACACACCTGAGATGTTTTATTACAAAGATGAGCATAACTAAAATGCTCTTCTGAAACACTTTTTTTCCTATTTATTTCCATTTATTTCCATATATAGCAGTGGTTCTCAACCTTTCTGATGACGTGACACTTTAATACAGTTACTCATGTTGTGGTGACCCACAACCATAAAATTATTTTCGTTGCTACTTCATAACTGTAATTTTGATACTTTTAATGAATCATAATGTAAATATCTGTTTTCTGATGGTCTTAGGCTCTACAGCATCTGTTCTCAACCTGTGGGTTGCTAGCAGGGTTGCCTAAGACCATCAGAAAACACAGAAAACATCGCTTACACTACAGAGTTTTATATATTAAGTCAAAATTAATGTTCAAATGAATAAATTCTTTCCTCATTTCACAAATAGTCTAAAGATGCAGAAGAAAAACATTCTTAGATCATTAATTATTGCTAATACAATATATAACATTTTACCATTAAAAAAAATTAGAGCGCTAGCCAGTTTTGCTCAATGATTAAGAGTATCATCCCTTGGATTAGAAGGGTCCTGGGGACCATGAGGCTGGCAGGGGAGTGGTTAGGCAGCGATTAAGCCAGTAGGCAGGCAAGTGGTTAGAATTGCGAGAGGGGAGGGATGTCTGACCACCAGTTTAGGCCCCATGTGAGATTGGGCTTACACTGGCAGTTGGACATCCCCCAAGAGGTCCCAGATTAGAGAGAGTGCAGACTGGGCTGAGGTACCCCCCCCCCCCATGCACAAATTTCATGCACCAGGCCTCTAGTTTATATAGAGAGAAATCCAGAGACCCTTATGGCAGAATGAACAGAACGGCTGAGGCACACTGACCACCAGGGGGCAGATGCTCAACAGAGAAGCTGCCCCCAGGTGGTCAGTGCACTCCCACAGCAGGAGTACCCTCAGGACTCAAGATGGCTGGTGAGCACAGTGGCAGTGGTGCAAGCCTCTCCTGCCTCAGTAGCAGCACTAAGGAGCAGCAAGTCCAGGGGTAAGGAGCGAGCAGGCAGGCAGTGAGGAGTGAGGGGTCCCAGATTGTGAGAAGGCGAAGGCTGGGCTGAGAGACCCTGCCCCCCCACATACCCACATCCACAAATTTTGTGCCTCAAGCTTCTAGTAAGTATATAAGTTCTTTGGTTTATCTTTTCTCGTCTCCCCCAACCCCACAGCGAGGTATGTCAGTCTTTAGAAGACAATGTACCTTATAAAATTAAACATGAGTTTATCACTTGGCCTAGTAATTGTCACAAGACGTGAAAATGTGTTCACAGGAAAGTGGGATTGTCAATTATTTCTAACATCCAAATATGGATAGCCACATTCATACATCTCCAAACTAGAAGCAATCCAAATGTCTATCAATTGGTCAATAGATTTTTTTTAATAGTGGTATAACTGAAGGCCTTGTGTGCACGGAATATTAGCATAACCAGTCGGCACAGACACTGGGGGGGTCTTGCCCTGGGGGTGGGAGTGGTGGGAAGTGTCAATCAGGGTAAAAGGAGACACATGCAATACTTTAAATAATAAGAAAACAATAAAAAATAAAAGTGATGTATCCATACCATAGAATATTACTCTGTAACAAAAATAAATAAAATGTGTGAGTCTTCAAAACATTGTGCTGAGCAAAAGAAACCAAACACAGAAGTGCATGTCTGTGTAATTCCACTTGAATAAATTCTAGTGACTCAGTGGTGTCCTGAGGCCGTGGGTGAGTAGAGGGCAAAGGGCACGAGGAAAACTCTGGCAGGGATTCCTCTCCTGGGCTGCGTGCAAGTGGCTTGCTGCAGTGCATGGTGACACACACAACCAAGGCCAGCCGCTGCCGCTGAGCTCCATGAACCGCTGTGTCTGCACACATTGGCATAACAAAGGGGATGTTTAAGAAGGAGCTAGGCAGTGTCCTGCAGGTCGGGTTTCAGCAGCTGAGTAAGCCGAGGTAGAAAACCCAGAATAACCCAAAGAGACTTGGCAGGAAAAGTCCGCCTGCCCAAGACAATGATGCATCTGTTATCCAGATATCAGGATCGCAGTATCTGATCTCGGCCTGGAGGTAAACCAAGCATTTCAGTCAGTGACTCGGGGGATAAAAATGGACTTGAATCAAGAAAAAGAAAATGAAAACCCTCAGACAGTGACTTGACAAGAAAGAGCAGCGGGGAAAACTGGCCCCAACGACTAAAAGGTTTATGGTGGGACTGAAAAATAAACAAATAACGCTTCCCAGCAACTTCAAACATAGAGCTGTCATCACTGAGATACCATCTTCTGGAAAGTAATTCCTAAGCCAGTGGCATACACAAAAGACTTTATATAAAGGAGGTAGGCAGCTGAGTAATCTTACCAACCCTCTTGTGTTTTGGATTTTTTAATAAACTGTTTGTTTTAGAACGGTTCAGATTTATAGAATGATTACAAAGGGTTCTCTGTACCCGCTTCAGCGTCCTCTAGAGCTCCCGTCTTCCATGGAGTGCATTCTCACAAATAATGAACCAAAATGGACCGTCCTTGGTGCGGTTACTCAGGCCTCCCTCCTTGGTTTGTCTGATGTCTCTCTCCGCCCCTGATCCCACCAGGACACGATCTCACTGAATTGCCGTCTGGAGCCCTTCCTGCAGGTGCGTTCCCAGACGCCCTAGCTCTCGGTGCACGGACAGTCTGAGGGGCGTGATCAGGTGTTTTGCAGGATGTCCCTGACTTGGGCTTTGTCTGATGTTTTTCTCATGGTTAAAACTGGGATTGGACTTTTTAAATACCTTTTGCTTCATTCTTAAGTCTTACCATCGCGATAACACTATCTTATACTTTGGATTACTACTCAGATAATCACTTCAGTCTGGTTACAAATAGGAGGTCTGAAAGGTTTCCTCGCCTGTAGACTCAGTGAGTGCTTCCCAGTGAACTGCGGGCCAACTGACCCCCTGAAGCTCAGCCTCCATTTTATGCTCTTCTGTGCAAAACCCAGAATCATAATCAACATTAACTGATAGCGCCTGAGATAAGATATAGTAATGAACCCACAGTTAGTCAGTCATATCCCAAAATTGGCAGAACGTTTCCTTGACTGAAAAAAAAAAAAAAAAGAAAAGAAAGTTTCCTTGACTGGGTTAGCTTCATGCATTTTAAGGATCTAATGTATATTTTGATATAATCTCTTACCGGTCGCAGGTAGATTTTTTAAAAAGTTACTCTCCAAGTGGCTCTAAGGAATAAAGATACCTTTGATGTATGAGGAAAAGCCTGCATTATGCTATAATATGTCCCTTTTCACGTAGGCACAGGAAGGGGAGAAAGTAAGACTCATTGGTGAGGCCCCGACCCAGGGGTGGGTCCCTATTCTCATGGCACAATTCACCTTGTTTCTAATGGAAAAATTCACAACAAGTTTTGTGTCAGGCAAGCTCTAGATTTCTATGCTGGTCTTTGTAAAAGTATTAGTAAGTATGCCCCAGGCGTTATTGGTGTTTCGTCCTAAAGACAAGGCCACCAGAAGTGGCACAGGAGCCTCACAGCAAGGAGAAATGCCTGGATATGGCCTTGGCAGAGGTCAACCAGCTCTAGTCTTTGGGGAATAAGCAGCTAGACAAGGGCCAGCCCAGAACAGAAGTGCTTTATTAGCTGCAAAATTTATCAGATTGCGTTATTGCTAAGGTCCTGCAGCACATAATTCCAAAAGGAAAGACAAAACAAAACTCATTAAGCACAGCCTTGGGGACACACAGCATCCACCTGGCAGTTGGTGGCCGAAGGTACCAGCCCAGCAGGGTTCTGGCAGACTCCTGAGCCTGCAGACTTATGTCACAAGAAGAGCCTCTGTAAACGCGACATCCCTCAGACACCCCACAGAAGCTGTGCCAACAGAAGCCACAGGTCACAAGTTTCTTCTTAAGCTCAGCGGGCCCTGGTCTGTGGAGCAGGTCCGCTTCCTGCAGGTGAGCCTGTGGGAGGGCGGGACCAGGGACCAGCAGGGAAGGTGAAGGCCACCTTGTAAGAGCAGCCTCTCCCCTGACTTTCCTTTCGAATCCCAGCCCCTTTCTCAGTCCAAGCTAGAAGGCAGAAGCAAGCAGTGCTGCTTTCAAAGAGGCCTCACTGCCCCCGCATTGCTAAGAGGCGGGAAAGGAACCACCTCACCAGAGGTCAGATGGGAAGGGACCGACGTCTCTTCTGAGGGAGGACACAGGCTTCCTAGCGCAGCGGAGGCACAGAGGGGTGAAAACCATTCTGCCCATTTCCTCTGGAGGGGACCGCGGGAGCAGGCCTACCTGCTGGGAGCTGACGCTGATTGGCTGCTTTAGGATGATCCACGTGACACTCTCCAGGAGGGGCGGCACGGTGAGAGACCCCGGGTAGGTCCAGTAATCCCAGGACGGAGGAAGCAGCGACAAGGGGTCAAAATTCGTGAATCGAGTTTGTTTACCCTGGGCAGGAGAGAGAGAGCCTTACATCGGGAAGCTGTCACAGATTCTGGAAAACGTGCGTGCAGTGACCTCAGATTTCCCTGGACCTGCCCCGTCATGCAGTTTAGCGCCTGCTGTTTGTATTTTAGAAAGAGGACGTGCCTTCAACTAAACATGTTAGAGGCAGCCGGGCATCGCCAAGATTCATTTGAAAGGACAAGATTTGTTTTCACATAAGTGAAGATGTGTTGCAGCCAAAGGCTTATTCTGTAAAACTCTGACGACAGAAACTAATTATGCATAAATATATTTATGTGATTATTTTAGGTGATTGAAGACTCCTTCATAAACCTCAAGAGTGAGTGGTGACAGGCTGTGCCAACTCTATCGGTCAAGGACACGCGGCTGCTTTCAGGAGCAGCACTCCCCTGGCTCACCGTGTTTGTACTGACAAGAGACTTCAGCAGAAAATGGGACCATATTAGTCCCAGTCCTCAGGAGTCAGCCTTACCTTTTCTCTAATGGAATCCAGGATGTCAGTGATCTTTTGCAGTTGGGGGTTACATTCGCCAATCTGAAAACAGGAAATTTCGGGAGAAGTGGTGACTGTTGCAGAGCAGGTTTGAATTGCTCCATTTCGGTCACGATTTTAAATTCTTTACAAATAAAACAAACAAAACGTAGGCCAGCCCACAGCACACAGAGATTGTTCTGGAGCAGCCCTCCTGCCTGAAGACTCTGGCCCCTGGGCTGAGTTACAAGTTTACCCCTGAACTGGCAGTGGCAGCTCACTGTTCTCAGCTTTAGGGGAGCTGCAGACTCAGGTGAACTTGGACAGCTTGGCTTAGGAGACCTCCATCACACCTGCACTTCCACCCCAGGTGTGACTTCCAGACCCTCTCTCCATTCAGACTACTTTGGCATCAGAACATTGGCGGAAAACATCCCAGATTCGGCCTAACAACAGGAGGTGGCAGATCCAGGCAGCAGATCATCCTGAGCAGATGTTCCTCAGAACATGTGCCCCTCCTCACATCCCAGTGGCTGTCGCAACAAGGAGGAGCGTCCTCCAAGAATGTGGTCCCCGTGGGAGTGGGGGCCCCACCCATCCCAGGTGTGGCCACAGCGATCCCTGTCTGACCACTTGTGCAGGAGCACAAACAACAATGAGAAGCAGTCAGGGCCTTTGGGACAAGAGCCGCTGCAGTGCCACCAGCGCTTCCAGAGGGGACGGCGGCTCCGCTCTGCGCGCCCTGAGCGCTGTGAGGCCCGTCCCCAGAAGCCGGCCAGGGCTCTGCGGGGTCTCGCGTGTCACCTCCACACTGCTGTTGTTGGTAATTGATGACAATGATCAACAGACACAGGAGGGATTGGAAGGCAAAGCTCCCAGGCCCTGAGATGAACCATAACATGGAGTTTTGATATCCATTTCAAAAGAAAAACACTAGACCTATAACTGGCTCGTTATTAAAAAATGGTAGAACCCAGCCTGCGTGGCTCGGTCCATGCCCCAAAAGGTTGCAGATTTAATTCCCAGTCAGGTGGCAGCCTTGATCCCCCATAGGGGGCGAACAGGAGGCAGCTGCTGGAAGCTTCTCTGTTACTGATGCTTCTCTCTCTCTCTCTCTCTCTCTCTCTCTCTCTCTCTCTCTCTCTCTCTCTCTCTCTCAATAGGCTATTTTGTAAACGTGGTGGGATGTCCATTTGGCGGCTGAAGCCCTGCCCCACACGCTGAGTAGCTGTTCCGTGAAGCCAGAGGCCCTCACCTGTAAAAACACGCCCAGGACAGCAAGTCCGTCGGGCGCGTGAGCGGCCTCCACGAAGCTGGGGTACTTGTCCGCGTTCCAGTGGACGACGTGGAGCTGGAAAGGAGGACAGTGTAACTCAGCATCACGTTTAGGCCCGTCCTCAGACGCATGGGCCCAGGGTGAGAGGCCGGCCTGCACCTCAGGCACCATGTCCGTGTCCACGGAGCTCTTGGAGGCCCCAGGAAGTCCTGCCACTCCCCTGGAGCCCCAACAATCTCCAGCCACTGATCCCAGTGACGGAGGGCCCCCGCACTCCCGCTCCGGGACTGCAGTCCACAGCCCGGGGCAGGCCCGCTGGCAGCAGGTCCAGGCTGGGGTGCAGGGTCAGTGGGTGACCCTGCCGCGGACGCAGTCAGAGGCTCCCTCCTGCACCAAGGCCTTTCTATGGTGTGAACATGGGTTCTCCTTAAGAGTCCCTGTGTTAGCGGTGTCCACTCATCTGTCAGCTTCCAGGCCCAAGTCCAGGCCCCACGTGGGGAGCAGGAGTGACCAGGACGGAGACTGGGCTGGAAGCAGAGGGTCGGAGGAGGATCAGTGTGCTGAGGGGAGGGCAGGCGGCCAGGCCGGGACCAGAGGGGCTTCCCCCACATCCCACTCTGCCTGAGAGCCATGTCCCTCCAAATCCAGGGATGCCCATGTCCAGTAATGGCCCCTTGAGCACAGGCCAGCGCACGAACTTGGCACGCACAGCCTGGCAAAGACCGCTCCTGGAAGCTCCTCCCCGGCTGGGGGTGCTCTGCGATGGCAGCCACAGAAAGGCCAGGCCATGTGGCACACCCAGATGGCGTGGCCCAGATCCTGATGGTGGGAGAGGGGCGGGCTTCGGGTTTGACCTCCTCAAGGGCTGTGGCCCCTCAGGGAGGAAAAGTGGGCGTTTCATGCACTAACCCCCTTCCAGTGACAGCTGAGGTATTACTCTGCTCCAGGTCTTATCCCATCCTTTCAATGTGACTGCGTCTACAGGGAACGCCTGCAGGGGATTTCTGGATAAAGAAAACTGACCACACCTGGCTGGTGTGGCTCTGTGGTTGAGCATTGACCCATGAGCCAGGAGGTCACATTTACATTCCCGGTCAGGGCACATGCCGGTTGTGGGCTCCATCCCCAGTGGGGGGCGTGCAGAGGGCAGCCGATCAATGATTCTCTCTCATCACTGATGTTTCTACCTCTCTCTCCCTCTCCCTTTTCTGAAATCAATAAAAACATATTTTTAAATAAAAGAGTGACCATGAACAGTGACCTAGAAACAGTGCACCCCACCCCCAACAGCGGGGAGACTGGCTCTGCACGGTGGCGGTGGCCTGTGTTCTGCGCTGCGTGGATGGTGGGGGACGGTGCTCGCTGGGCCGCAGGGACGCCCCGGGCTGTTGTGCCAAAGGCCAGTGCCCATGCATCCATGCACCTGGTGAGAGATGACGCCACAGACACCGAAACCTGGGGAGTGACTCCTTGGTCCACCCACAGGCACTCAGAACACCACGTGGAGCCAAAGACAGAAGCCCTGTGTCCTCCCAGGGGATACAGAGCGACCAGGACACTGTGGGAGTGGAACAAGAGGCGGGTTGTTGTCACAAGTCTTCCCCCTCCCGCCTCGCTGAGCACCACCTCCCGCAGCTGCCCGCGCGGCCCAGGCCTCTGAGTGGGACCAGGGGCAGTGTGCCTCCTTTTCACAGCCCAGTGTCGAGCGAATGACCAGAAGTGACCGCAGCGGCTGCAAAGGGAAGGACCAGGCTCCCCCGGGAAACAGTGTCTGAATAAAGTGCCGTCAGCCTCAGCATCTCCCTGCTACTGCGGACACACAGAGGCCTTCGTGCAAAAGGCGCCGTCATGTGGACACCACAGCTTCACGCTCAGCTCGCGTTCCCTCTTCCTGTGCGCGAGGCATCGGTGCGCCTGGATCCAGCGCTCTCTGTGCAGACACGCCTCAGGGAAGCTTTGTGAACAGCGGTCAGTGGGCTGGACTGTCCACGTTCAGCCCCAAATTAAATTCCCGTGTCATGGCTCTCCGTGGCCTTTTCCTTTGTCTTCTTCCCTTCACTGTCTGATGTATAAGGAGGACAGCACGGGGGTGCCCTGCCTCAGTGCATAGCCGCTCCCAGGCCAGAACCGCCCGGCCTCACCTGCTCCCCAGACAGCCAGGGGTTTCATGAGAGCCAGAGCACCTGGGCCCACAGCACCGCCTCTGTCCTCCCCCCACACGACGGGCCTCTGTCCTCCTCCCACACATGACGGGCCCCTGTCCTCCTCCCACACGACGGGCCCCTGTCCCCCTCCCACACGACGGGCCCCTGTCCTCCTCCCACACGACGGGCTCCTGTCCTCATCCCCACCTCCCCGACACACACACACACACACACACACACACACACACACACACAGGACAGATGACTGACTGCTCAGGCCCACAAGCCCGCCCCACCAGGCTGGCCCCAGCCTCTCTGGGACTGTGCAGCCTCTCATGGAGCCGGTTTCTTGTCATTTGGTCTCAATTCATGTGGCACCTCCAAGGGCCCCTCAGCCTTTGACACGACCACATGGCATTGTTCTGTCAGAACTCACCCGTCCATCTGCTGCTTACTGTCTACCTGCAAGGTAGCACGCCCACCTGCAAGGCCAGACTCCTCTCCACAGCATCCCTGCCGCAGCAGCAGACACCTGCCTGCCCCCACCCGCTGGACAGCCGCCACCTGCACTGTTGCCTGCCACCAGGATCCCCCAGGCTCCTCACTGACCCTTATCCTCTCCGGCGTCACCCCACTCTCCTCTAGTTGTAGTGAATGTTATTTTTTTTAAATGCAAAAAATTATCACTTTATAATTCAAAGCCAGTCAGTGACGTCCGGCTCTTAGAATACAGCTAGGCACCATCCCCACCCCCACCCCTCCCGGAGCCTCTGCCTCGTGCCGTTGTCCACGCTCCAATCACACGGGCACTCCTGTGGAGGGGGCTCTTCCACCCGAGGCACACGTGCCGCTCTGGGCAGGCCCGCGGGTCCTGTCCTGCTGCCTCTTCTCCCGAGGGACATGTCCCCGGACGCCCCCTGGTCCCCGCACACCTCCCTTCCTGCTCAGTGAGCCAGGGAAGGTGGAGGAAGAGGGGGCCCAGCGCCGTCCTAGTGAACGAGGCAATGGGTAGTGCAGCTCGGGGACAAAGGGGCCTACGACACGAGAAAGACCCTCATCCGCAGTGAGCCCGGGAGGCCCCACGGTGTCCAGACCGTCCGCAGTCCCAGTGGCCAGAGCTCGGAGCCCAACTCAGAGGACAGCGCCACCCATCGCCTCAGGGTCCACTCAGGCCTGTGGAGGGGGCCACTGTCCCGCTGCTTTGGGACATGACAGAGCCTGCCTAGCCCGAGGTTCTGAGGCTCAGAACACGTTACGTTCAGACACAGAGATTCCCAAAACAAGCACGGACAATACTGGGCGGTCCTCCCTGCTTGCTCGTGCCCCCCCCCCTCCCCACCCGGAGCCTGGGAGCCCCTGCTCTCGAACAAAGTGCTCAGGTGACCAGGCCTTTGGGTATTGCCGAGAACAGCAGATGTACGAGTGCTGGGAAAATAAAAATGGCAGCAAGTCCTGCCGTCTGCCGGGCTTCTCTGCACAGAGAGCTGCATGGGGCCTGGCTGGCTCTGAGCCTAAGGGCGGGAGAGCACGGGCGCCTGCAGGCCCTCCCGCCCTCTGCCTAGGCGGCACCAGGGCACACAGAAGTAGTGTTGGCCAAGTTGCAGGATAATTTCCTCCATCTTACGGTAGGGTTGGGGTCAGCAGTATTTAATTGTATTATGCTTTGTGCTTTAGCCAGGGGGTTAGAAAATGTGTTCTTTTAAAAATGTATTTTTATTGATTTCAGAGAGGAAGGGGAAGGGAGAATAGAAACATCAATGATAGGAGAGAATCATCCATCAGTTGCCTCCTACACACCCCACACTGGGGATCAAGCTCACAACCCGGGCAGGTACCCTGACTGGAATTGAACCGTGATCTCCTGGTTCATAGGTTGACCTTCAACTACTGAGCCGTGCCGGCTGGGCAAAGGTAGGGTATTCGTGAAGGCTAGCACCCTAAAGAGGAGGAGTGACCCAGGGCAGAAGCCAGGATGTCAGGGCCTGTTCACGGCCTGACGGGCACTCAGCCGCAGGTGAGCGGGGAGGAGGGCTGAGGAGCTGTGGCTGTGTCTCCCCGGGCCCTCTGCCTCTGCCCTCACCCCTGTACCAGGGGTTTCAGGTGATCTCAGTGGATAGCTGTGTCTGGCCCACCACAAACGTTTCTTTCCCCCTCTTGCTGGCCTCTCGGGAGCGAGCTGTGACTTGGTGTCAGACAGACTGAGCCTCCCCGGGTCCAGGTGCTCGTGTTCACACAGGCACCGTGACCCGAACTCTCTGGGTCGTTCTGAGGCTCCCCCCTCCTCCCCCCTCCCCGTTCACAGCTCACTGACAAGCTCCTGTGCTGACGGAACGAATCCAGGCCACAGACTGAAGCCCCAACAGGCTCGGTACCTATTCGGGGTAAAGGATGCCTCCTGTGTCCCTTCCCTCCCACCAGGGAGGACAGCTCTGCCAGGAGCCCGGCCGATGGCTTACCTCGGCAGCATACCTCACTCCGTCCACCACGTGCTCAGAGCCGTGGTCATCCGTGGACCCCCAGTGCAGGTGGAACTGCCGCAGCCGGTATCTTCCTGTGAGCGGCCCCCCGCGCAGAACTAGACGGCAACACAGGGACACAGTCAGCAAGGAGAGTGTTTCTGCGTGGCCCACACACGCCCCCCAGGACCCACAGCACGAGCAGGGGCTACAAAGGGTCCCGCCGTTCGCGGGCAGGGACCTAGCTTCCAGGTGGGCGAGGGTGAGAACACACTTTTGAGGGTGAGCGTGACCACAGGACAGCGATGCGGGGGGTGCGGGGGGAGCCCAGCGGGCACCTGGTGCAGAGCAGGGAGCCCCGAGGGCTGCCTGTCCGAGGAGGCTGCCAGGCCCAGGGGCCCAGCAGGCGGCCCAGGAGCGCCTTCCACAGGTTGAAGACCTGGGCTCACCTTGGCTTCACCACCCTTGACCTTGCACACACTCTCTGACCTTGAGCTCCAGCTGTCAGGCCATGACCTCGGAGAACAACAACTCCACCCACAATGTCATGGGGAACAAGAAAAACTGAGCATGCAGCCCTCACCCCTGCCCCGCAGACAGCTGGCCCCGAGAGCTGTGATTGCTGCGATACTGCTGTTGTTTCTACAAATGCGGGCAGAGTAAGTGCATCTTCTTAGGGAAACAGGAAACACAGGACAGAATTAACTTTTTAGAAGCCCTTGCGATGTTGCCACGGGCACTTTGCCTCCACAAAAATGCTCTCTGACACCTTGGCAATAGAGCCCAAACAGTAAGGCTCAGTGGTGGAGCGTCGACCTATGAACCAGGAGGTTCTGGTTCAATTCCTAGTCAGGGGCCGTGCATGGGCTCTATTCCCAGTGTGGGGCCTGCAGGTGGCAGCCCATGGATGATTCTCTCTCATCATTGATGTTTCTATCTCTTTCCTTTCCTCTCTAGGCTCAATAAAAATATATTTAAAAAAATAAAATTTTGGCAATAGAATCATATCTTAAGGAGACAGAAAAATGTCTTACTAGAAACCAAGTCCTAAAATGTGGCCCGACGATTAATCTCCGCTGGGCAGACTGGAGGCCCAGAGGCCAGAGGCCGGAGGCTGAGCTCGGCACACCACGTGGACAGGGCTCATCCCCCTCACACAGCAGCGGGCAGTGCCGGGGCCAGGGCAGCCTCAGCAGCAGCTGGCTCAGAGGCCCCTCCTTGTTTTATGTGCACAAGATTACATGCAGTGACAAGAGTTGTCAAAAATGCCCATCTTACATAAGCAGGAAAGATGGCGAGAGTTTCATATGTCATCTTCCATGAACAGCAAGAAACAAAAGGACAAGGTAATGCGCTTGCCCTGCCCTCTGGGCTGCACTTCAGGAGAGCAGACCGCTGTGTGCGGACCAGCACCGGGGTGCCCTTCTCCTCGACTTGGCGCCAACTGCAGCTCAGAGCTGGTCAGGGTTCAATCAGCAGCCAGCATAGTCCCCATGCAGCGCCCGCCCTGTCCTGTCCGCACTGGTGTCAGCCCCAGTTTCTGACTAGATTGATGGATGTCCCTTCACGTCTACCCGCCCAAGGAGAAAACTGGGAGCACATTTAACCAAGTCTGTGGAGGGCGAAATGGCCGGGCACCCTCTAGGTTCCTTCAGACCCAGGCTGCTCTGTGTTAAGTAGCTGCCCATCTCCAGAGCCCCGGGAAATGAACAGGGAGAGGAGCACCACCCAGCAGGCCACTGAGATGGCACGGCACTCTGCTTCTGCTGGCCCTGGACACGCTCCATGGCTCTGCTGGTGTCCTTGCGGCACCGCCTGCCCCTGTCCCTGAGGAGATAAGTGATGGAGAGGATCTTAGGTTTGGCTCTAAACAGCCTCCGCGATGCTTCACAGATAAATGAGCTGGGAAGGCACATGCCTGGGCGGCGGCCTGCTTCCGGGGGCCACGGCCTCTGGGTGCAACCAGCCTGGCATCCGTCTTTCCTCTTCTGTTGCATGAACCGAGCCAAGCATGTACCTGTCACAGTGCCACGCCGCGGGCGGGCTCAGGACTCACCTTATTCTAGAACTGGAACCACTGTGGGAGGAGACACTAAGCAGCTGGCCCAGGAGAAAGACGGAGATCCCTAAAGGCCAGCATTCTGGCTGGCTCGGGGAAGCCTGACCGAACCCAGGCTTCACACAGATTGGCAGCCCCACCTGGGGGAGCACAACACTGACCTCCCTCTGCCTCACCGGCTCCGCACGGGAGCATCTGTGCTAACAGGTTCCACCTGCGACCTGACCACGGGCCAGTGTGCTGACCGCCCGCTCGAGCAGGGCTCTGCACTGGGGGGAGGTGAGACAGAAGGTCACAATGGTCTCGCCTGCCTTCGAGATGGTCTCTGATAAAAGTTAGGCTGTGGGATACGATGAAGAATGGCTGCAAAATATTTTTAATGAGAATGATTTCGTGTTTTCAAGTGTCAAATTACTCATCTCACTTTCCAGCCTAGATGAGTAGATAGACATTATTATCTCTATCTTAATTCTGAAAATGAATTATTCTTTCTCCAAAATCATACCTGGCATACACAGAGTCCATTTATCACTTCATCCAGCATTTTAAAAAAATCTCCTCCAAATAATGCACTCATACAAGAAAGAGGTGCAGAGGGTAAGACGCCAGAGGCAAGTGCCTGGTAGGGGGGAGCACGTGCTACCTCAGCCAAGGGGTCTTTGCTAGCTGCTCCCTGCCGCCAAGCCCCCCTGCTGTGGAACCGGAAGCTTGCTGGTGTGTGCTGCCTCGGCCTGTCTGTCACAAGCCAGGCCTGCGTGTCTCTGCCCCGGCCCGGCATCACTGCCTGGACTGTGAGCATGGTTGCTGCACCAGAAAACGGCGCTTCTGACAGTCACCATCCAGCCCAGCGGGATGCAGCTCCTCTAAGAGGACCTGCCTCGTTCCTTTGTGTCCCCTGGACCCAGGACGGTGTCTGACAGTGACTGTGCAGAGGCAAGTGCCAGGTGGCTGCCAGCGTGTGTGCCCAACTACTTATTCTGGAACAAGGACTGTAGCCTCAGTTTCCTTTAATACTTGAGATATTATCACCAGTGTCCCGCCATGATCGTGGGTGGTGCAGACTTGGGGTTGGGAAGCTTTGGATTTCTACATGACCACATCGCATACATAATCATGTGCCCATTACATCACCTCCCTGTTACCTCACCCTCCCGCCCTCTCCGAGCGGAGGGGGTTGGAAACACAAGACAAGCAAGGTCCCTCCTTACCCCACCAGTTGAAAACACCATGTGTTAGTCTTCCATGTGCACGTTTACAATGCTCTGAACAAATGATATGAGTCACTTTTACAAATTTGACAAGTATGAGGAAGGTATTTTATGGGCTTATAATTCTAGCTAAGAATTAGCATTGCATAAACATGGGAACTATGACTAAACCAAAGCTCAGCTTAATGAGTAAGTGAAGCTTTCTTCCAATGAAGAGTTTTTTTAAATTTAACTACATGTATCATTAATAGAGCTAATGCAGCATCATCTTAATATTAGACAAAAAGTAAAAGTAATTTGTCAGCAGCCTTAAAACATGAGTCCCTAACCTTCTCTGTTACCTAACTTTTAAACTTGATACTAATCTGCTTCTTGGGCGTGGCCGTGCTGGAAAGTGAAGGAAACACACTTTCTATTCATTTGGCTCGTGTGTTCCGAATACGTGACACGGTTTCATTTGGTTGGTCATCATTTACTGATAGTGTGAGACACTGACCCTGAATGAATCAAGCAGAACTTTCATTACAGGTCCCAGCAGAGAGAGAACTTTCATTACAGGTCCCAGCAGAGTACGACACACAATGGGTAGGTGTTTCAAATAAGAGAGAAGAGAAGTTATTGGCCGAGCCTCTCACCTCACCCCCCAATAGAAAGCCCACCTGATTTGTCCTCCGTGTCATCAAAGTCGACGTTGAAGGAATGGCCACTGTTACTGATGATCTTGGCGGAGCTCGAGTCATACGCAATGCTAAGGGGGCGGAGGGAAGAGTCAAACTTTGCTTCCTTGGTTTTAATCTCAATCGGGGACTGCTGGTCCCCATCAGCGATGGGGAAGAGTTGGTTCCAGTGAACAGGACCTGGATAAGCACACAGGACCAGAGAGAGGACTGAACAGGGGTTTCATTCGATGAGTCCTCCTGGAGTGCAACAGAACGGGTTAGTAAAAGGTCTCCACCTTCAGGGCCTTCACACCTAACCCCTAACTGTGAGCAGCTGTTTTTACAGACTCCTTGTTCTTATTAGAGGCATAGAGACTTCCTGGTTTGCATTCACTCATTTTCCGAATCAAACAAACGCTGGGGACAAAGGAGCATGTTTGTTTTATAAGGTACTTTCCAAAGGCACTTTCCTGCCAGGCGGAAAACAACAGCGCGATTCATCTGAGCCCGAGATTCCATCTCAGCCCAGGAGTAAGGGAGCTGCAGGCTCATTCAGCTGGAGGAGGGACACAGAGTGAACCTGCGTGGCCCGTGGTGTGAGCAGGTATCACACTCACGGGGTAAACCGGCGCCACGCTGCGCCGTGCAGGGAAATGGAGTGTTGTGGGGTACCTGCTGGAGTCAGGGCACATTTGTCTCTCCTTCCTGCACGTCAGGGGCCCCTCTGGGTTTGCTTTGCCAGTACTACCTTTGTATTCCAAAGCAGGGGACCACGGTCTCCCTGATCCTCTGCTCAAAACGCCAAAAGGGTGCCAAGCTCCCCGGCAGACACATCTGGTAAGTGATGTGAGCCCGCAGTGCCCTCAGGGCCTCGGCCTTCCTCTGGAGACCGGACTCTCAGAACCAACAGCAGTGCGGCTCCAAGTGAGCAGCACGTCAGTGCACAGGGACACAGTGTGGCCACTCCTCTCCCTCTGCTCCTGCCCCGAGCAGCCCCACTGTGAGGAGAGCTCTTCCCTCCCTCCCCGACCTGCGGGCCTGGCCCCTCCATACTCAGGCTCCTATTCCACAGATGGCATGAGCGCTGTGCTGGTACTAGCGCCCCGAGAATTTCCAAAGGTAAGACTTAAAGAATTCAACTAAGGAATGCAAAGATGCCGCCGTGGGCAACAGCTTCATCTCCTAACCAGATTCCCCCATGATGCCTCCTTTGTCAGAAAAGAGTGAGTGCTGTTTCCCTCGCATAGGCTTCCGGAGGACTGGCACCCGGAGCGCACACCGCACACACAGCACCTGCTCCCCAGTGAGGAGGCCCCGCACTCACCCTGCTGCACTCGCTGGCACAGGCTAGTCCTGCGCTCTCTCTCTCTCTCTCTCTCTCTCTCTCTCTCTCTCTCTCTCTCTCTCTCTCTCTCTCTCTCTCTTTCTTCCTCCCTCTCTCTCTCTCTCAGCCACCAGGCGTGACTGCCTAGAGCACATTAGACTTCAGATCTGCCCACTCTTTCATGGGGAGTGCCCTTCTCCTAACCACTCTGCCCGGTTTCCAGTCTTACAACAGAACCATTTTGAAATACTCAGTGTTAAATATTAACTACTAGGATAGTTCATTCCCTGCCTCTTAAGAGGAGCCCCCTTGTAAAAACTGTCCAGACCTCCAAGTTCCACCCCATTTATACACGGTGCCAGGAGAGGTGTGTGGTGTGTCTGCCTCTGACTCAGAAGCTTCAGAATATTAGGGTGACCAGGGTTTGCAGTGACTGCCCCTTTCTGAGCTGGGCCAGCAGCACCACGGAGGGGCTGGGGAAGGTGCCCCCTCCCAGGCTCCTGCCAGCTGCTCGCCCGCCAGTGATGCATCGTTCCAGTGGGACATGGCCGCGGTGACCAACTTCAAGGTCCCCTCATCGCTATTGCTTCTACATTCGTAGAAAGCTACCAAGTCACTGCTTGCAAACAGCTCTCCCAAGAAGATTCTAAAAAGTTCTGCAGACAGCTTCAATGTTTCCCAACATGTTACAGTCATCACTCCTCCCTGATCCAGAGCACACTCTTCCTGACCAGTCAGGGCCTGCTGGCTGCAGTCACACTACTGCACTGTTCAGGGCTATTCCAGCAGAGAGGGAATGAAAGAAAATTGATTTTGTCACCTCCCCAAACATAAATTAAAAATCAGCAAAATATAAGATGATAATTACAGCCTCCATCAGAAAGAAATCCACCGAAGTTATTCAAGTTTTAAAATCCTAAATTTTATCTACTACCATTTTTATTGGCAAATTAATTTTGCCAATAAAAACAAAACTACAGTTAAAAGTGAAACTTTTCTGTTTCTTTGTCAAAGTAAAGTTTCTATAAAAATCAACTACACAGTACTATTCAATAATATATAGTAATAATAGTAATAATAATTATTATTACTAGTAATAAAAGTAATAATTATTATTAGTCACAGGCCTAATTTTTTCTATTTCTTTTTTCTAAATTTATCTTTATTGTTGAAAGTATTACAGATGTCTCCTTTTTTCCCCTTTGACTCCTCTCCCCTGCACTCCCCCACCCCCCCCCCCCCCGCATTCACCCACTATTGTGTATGTCCATGGGTTCCGCATATATGCATAAAAGTTCTTTGATTTATCTTCCCCTCCCCTGTCTAATTTTGACAGTGATTCACTAAAAGGCGTTCTAGGTGTCACTTTGCAATTAGTTTAAATAATCAGTATTTGAAAAAATAAGCTGGATAAGTTGTTTAATAGAAGAAATGAGAAAATGGTTTACTTTTGGTAGTTTAGAATAGACATTAATAACTGCATTTTGCTCACGTGCTTTGATTTCAATCCCTTTGCTGACTCAAAGTGCCTGCAGGGTGCGTTGGGGGCGGGTGTTGGGACCGGAAAAGAAGCCCCCCTCCACCTGCACCTTCCAGAAAGAACCCAGCCCGTGCAGCCAGCAGGACCGGTGCTGACCCCGGCAAGGTTACCAGAAACCCCATCCCGGTGCCCCAGGAGGCACCCTGCCTTCTCAGAGCTGTCATGCCAGTGATTTTCTTAAACTCAGTTTAAGCAATTTCCACGATTAATTCCCGGAGGAGTCACCGTTCAATCCATGTGTCCTCAGACTGCCTCTCACCCAGAAGGGCTGCCACCAGGGAAAGTGTCCCTCTCCCCCAGCTTCCAAAGGGCAGTGATGTCTGGGTCTGGGACCCTGGCACGTTGTCACCCCTGAGCCGACACCCCAAGGCGACTCCCGCAGTTGTCCCGGTGGCCCCCGAGCCCCGCCCCAGATCCCCCTGCCCCCCCCCCCCCCCACCACCACCACCCGCCCTCCCGGGGGCTCACCGTTGTGCTCCGCGTACCCCCAGCTGAGGCGCGACATGGCTGGAGGGAGGAGGCAGCAGGGACCCTGCCGGAGCTCTGCTGGGCTGGGCGGTCCCGGGTCTCTGCTCCGAGCCCTGAGCGTGGGCGGGAGGGCGGGCGGGGGGGGGGGGGGTCCCCGCCCTGCGCTTTGGAGGAAGCGGCGCTGCCGGGCGTCCCGGGACGGGTGGGTGAGTCACGGGGTGGGCGGTGCGCGGTGCTGGGGGCGGGGGCCCGGGCGGCAGAGCCCGATGACTGAGCCGCCAAGGAAGGCGCGCCCCACTGACACCCCTTTTCCGGACCCCGGACCCCGGACTCCCTAGCGCTGCGCCCAGGAAGGAGCTCCCAGAGCCCCAGGCAGAGGCTCAGCCACAGCCCTGGCCTGGACCGCCGCTGAGGGTCCCCTCACCCCGGCTCTCCTCACCCTCTGCAGGTGGTGACCGGCGCCTCCGGTCCCCAAGTTCTGCAGCCCTTTGCCTGCCCCCAGAGGGCGAGGAGTCCCCTGGGTGCTGGGGGCCTGTGGCTGTGCCCACATGATTGCAATCACTGTCCCAGCTACTGAGGCTGAACGGTGGGTCCATTTGAAATTTCACCCCAAATGTACAGTGTCACTTGAGGACAGACTGGTGCCAAGAGCGTTTTGATGAGGAGTGGATGCCTGAAGGTCATCTTTCCTTTCCATCTCGGGCCATCTGGAGCTGCAGTGCCATGCCTGCATGGCCAGAAGGCCCTCCGGGAGGCCGTGCGGAGTAGACAACATGCGGGGGTCTGAGTGTGCTGGAGCCACCGGCGTGGCCGCCTGCCCCACCGCTCCAGTCCTGCTCGCAGTGGCTCCTCCTGCACCAGGAGACCCGGCTTCCTCACCCACACTCTGTGCCTCAGGGGGGTGCGTTTGTGCCAATATAACAAGAGCCAATAGGTCTGATTTATACTCACTTTCACAGAAGACAATGTGTGTGTATATATATCTGTATTCAAATACACATATACAAAAGGACTGTTATCCAAAATACACAAAAAACTCTTAAAACGTATCAATAAGAAAGCAAACCACCTGATTTAAAAATGGGTCGAAAACTCAGCAGAGATGTACAGATGGCAAGGAAGCACATGCTCCACACTTGTGTGCTCAGAGGAACTAACTGCAACAGCACGCCATTCCACACCGATCATGGAATCCGGACACAGACAGCACCAAGTGCAGGCACGGATGTGGAGCAACAAGAACTCTCGCTCATGCTGGCAGGAATGCAAAATGGCGCAGCCTTCTCAGAAGATAGTTTGGCGATTTCTTACAAAGTTAAATATACTCTTCCCCTAGGACCCAGTAGGCATGTTCCTTGGTATTTATCCAAAGGAGCAAAAAATGTATGTCCACACAAAAGCCTGCACTTGATGTTTATACCAGCTTTATTCATAACTGCCACATCTTCGAAACAACCAAGACACCCTTCAGTAGGTGAATGGATAAGCAAACGGTGGGAAAATAAATATCCAGACAATGGGATATTGCTCAGCATTAAAAAGAAATGAGCTATCGCCGAAACCGGTTTAGCTCAATGGATAGAGCGTCGGCTTGGGGACTGAAAGGTCCCGGGTTTGATTCCAGTCAAGGGCATGTACCTTGGTTGCGGGCATATCCCCAGTAGGGGGTGTGCAAGAGGCAGCTGATCGATGACTCTCTTTCATTGATGTTTCTAACTCTCTCTCTCTTTCTCCCTTCCTTTCTGTACAAAATCAATAAAATATATTTTTAAAAAAAGGAATGAAAAGAAAGAAATGAGCTATCAAGCCCTGAAAAGATGTCAATGCATATCACTAAGTGAAATAAGGCCATCTGAAAAGACCACTCTATGACTCCACTGCTATGACCTTCTGGAAAAGGCAAAGCAATGGAGACAGAAAGAGATCAGTGGTTGTCAGGGGCGGGGATGGGATTGGGTGGGGAGGGGACAGAAACAGATGGAATAGAGGATTTCAGAGCAAGAACATACTCAGTGTGATACTGTAGTGATGGAGGCATGTCATTTTCTAAGCCCATAAATATACAGGCCCTGAGAGTGAGCCCTGAGGTAGGTAGACTGGACTTTGGTTGATAATAAGGTGTCAATGTAGGTTAATCATTTGTAACTAATGTACTCTTTTGTAAGTGTTGATAATGGAGGAGGCTCTGTGTTTGTAGGGGCAGGAGGTATATGGGAAATGCCTAATACGTTCCTCTCAATTTTGGTGTGAACCTAAGGTTACTCTTTAAAAAGAAAAAAAGGGTTCAGAAAAAAATAAACTCACAAAAAACTAACTGGTCATATAAAATACACAACACACAGAGGACTTAGCTTGTAGGAGGTCCTATGCCAAATTTGGGACAGTTGGCCATCAAAAAGAATCATGCTGGTAAATTATAATCTCCTTCCCTCAAATTACCCATGGGGCAGGGGGAGAAAGAGCGAGAGAAAATGCTTCTCTCTGAGAGAATGCTAGCTACTAACTGCAGATGGGATGACAGAATTTTAAAGCCAGTTTTGCAAGGCCAATGTAATATCCAGTTCAGGCAAAGATCAGTCATGGGAGCTATGACTGATGGAGGAATAGGACATTTACACTGATTAGGATTCAGAGACAAAAGTTATGTAAAAACCCAACACAATGGGTAGGTCTGAGGTCCTACATTGGGAAAAACAGCGGAAATAGAATCTTCTAGGCAATAGGACAGATGACACAGCAGCATGTAGGTGGTCTCATGGAACCGATGTTAATGTTTGCTGTGCGATGATCTGGTGGGAAGCCTGTAGATGAAGGCTGATGCCCTGGGGCTAAAGTCCCTGCTGCCTGCAACTGACTCTCACATGTCTTGGTCAGTAATTCATAGATCTAGCTGAAGGATGTGTGGGGGCTCATGCTCAGGAGAGTATTCTTTCCATTTTTCTGTACATGCTAAAATTAAAAAAAAAAAAGATTGGAGTCAATGAACCCATTAACTTGCTAATTAACCCTTTACAACTATTTGTGGGTGTTTTCCTTAATAAAGAGCCTCTGTCTCCAGGTTCACACCAGTCAAGTACAAATAAGTGGAAGATTAATACTGACCAGTAAACCCAGGAATCCTGACCAAGGCCATAGTCATCATCTCCACTTCACTCTTGAACCAATTGGATCCAGCCTAGCCTTCCCTGCAGCAACCACTCTTAGTAGGCTCTTCAGGGCATCAACACCTTATGTTCTGAGCAGCACTGGGAAGTGATAACCCTAGCCATAGAGATACTTAGGGAAGTGTAGTTACATACCAAGGGAAAATCAAAATGATGCTGTCAGCACTGGATAAACTGATACTATTTTATTAGGACATATGCACAGACTCTCTGAGATGCACATTTTCCCAAGTACTCTTTTTAGAAAGCCTAAGTGTGAACCCAAGTGGCTGTTTCCATTTGGTTTTACTGAGAAGGAAAGCCAGGAGCAAGATCCCTGTTACAAAGAGGCCGGCTCCCATGGGACACGCCCCAGCGTGCAGTCCCAAGTCCAAGGTGCTCTTTAGCAGAGCCCAGGCCGCCTCCATCCATCGCACTGTGATTTGAGCAGCTGGGTCTTATTAACCACAGGAATGTCTTATCACTGGTTATCAGTGGAGAGTGTTGATTTTATGGAGCTGGCACTCTATGGAGTTTGATTTCCTTACCTCTCATTCCTAAGGTTGCCCTGTGGCGGGGGGGGGGGGGGGGGGGGCACAGTGCGAGGTTCTCAGGAGAGACCTTGCCAGGAGGTTGCACAGAGCCCACGGGCACCGAGGTTCATCCTGGCCCAGGTTCATGCCAGAGGGGAATTCTCCAGTGAATCACAGCTCGGGCCACTTCTCAAATTCCAGCTTTCAGAGTTTTGTTCTCTGTTGTCAGACAAGAATAAGTTGCTAAAACTCTACTTTCTACATTTCTGGTCTTCTGCTTCCTCTCATGGTTTTCTAATATTTTTTTCATATCCTATTTTGAGTGTGTCATATTTTATTTGAGCACATCACAAGAGTAAAGTCTGAAAAAGAGAACTAAGATTATTTAAAAGTAAGTGAGCTGTATAGACATTAAGTCAACACTGAAATTTCCAGATAATTGAGTTTAAAATAACCCAGCTATCAAAGAATTTAGCTAATGGTTCTTTGGCTTGCAATAAGTAAGTCAATGTCACTCTACTGGTGCATGGTCTTATTCCCCAAGAACACGTAAGGGAACACCCTCAAAGATCTATGTAAAAGGATGCTCATCATAACGCATTTATAGCAGAAAAAAATCAAGAGACAGAAATACTAATGAGGAGTTGGAATAACTTACTGTATATTCAAAAGATGTAATTTTAGAGACAAATATTACATTTAAAGCATACTTAACATGTATGTTTATATTTATAGATTATACATTTTTATCTAGAGAGATACTCTGATTTTTTCATTAACAATATGTGTATTTGCTTAGAAAAAAAGGCTGAAATATATTTTAAAAAATGAGTGCTGGAATCTAGTCATTGTCCCAAAACATTTGTGTGGCAGTTTTGGGCACTGGGGATGGAGCAGTTGCTGAGCTGGCTCCTCCTTCCTCACTGAACAGACTGGCAGGGAGACAGTGTTTGATTTCTGGGTCCGGGTCACGAGAGACATTTCAACGTCTGTTTTGTCTTTTGGACCCCTCTGTCTGGGGGCCATCAGCTTCCTCCTCATGGGACACTCAGACCTGTGGAGATGACTTCCTGGAGAGGACCCAGGGGACCTAAAACCTCAGGAAAGATCGAGCCAGACACATCCAACCATGCCCCCACAAAGTCCACCCCCACGGAAATGTAAGATAGTGAGGACTCTTGTTTTGAGCAACTAAATTTTGGGATGATTTGTTATGCTTTAGAAAACAAAGACATTTGTAAACAAACCAGATAAAAAGCTCTGCCTTTATGGAGAAGAGAGATAATAAGCAGGATACACTATATAGTATATGGAATAACGGCACGGTAGAGAAGAGGGCCTCTGATGGTACAGAGGTGGTCAGAAGGCCTCTCTGGAAAGACCATTTGAAATAAGACCTGAGAGGTGAGGGAAGAGCTTAGCAGACATGCAGGGGCCATGATTGCAGGGCAGCGAGAAGCAGTGTTGGTCAGGAGGATCTCAGAGTCGGGCAGAGGCCCTTTAAGTGCTCTGGCTTTTACTCGGGGTGATGTGGGAACATGGGGAGTTTGGAGCTGAGGGATGACATTATCTGATCACCGTTTCAGCAGGATTCCTCTGGCTGCTGGGCTGGGTAGAGATTAAGCAGGGGGAGCCGTCAGGAAGCTGGGACAATACCCAGGTGAGACAGATGATGGGAGCTGGACCAGAACCCACTCATCACTGGTGTGCACTTCTTTACACTTTCCTCAATTTCCCAAATGTCTGCAACGACTCTGCATGGTGGTCTAATAGGAAAGGGGAAAAAATAAGTTTTTAAGGAACCCAACATTTGTTTTTTGTTGTATTTATCATAATAATGAAAGCCATGTAATTCCAAATTCCAGCACAGTGGAGTTGTTCTAAAACAAAACAAAGAAGAGAGTAAAAAACTGTTGACTGTGGTGTGTGCAGACAACAATTTCAACTGAAAAACGGAATCACTATTGAGCTTTAGACAGCCTGAGTGTTTGCTTATCAACTGAACTTGGTTATTACAAAGCACAGCATTCTTTCATTTTTTTTTTTCAAACACCGCTGGAATTCAGTGTCAAATTCTAATTTAGTAACACACGTCCTTCTTTGCCCTTGCCAGTCTTCTGGGTTTTAAACATGCACCTGCTGCCACAATTCCTGTCGTTTTACACTATTACTTGCATTTTAACCAAGAACCATAAAATCCGTGGAAGAACTTGATGTACCTTCGGATGTTTTTATGGCCTCTGTGATATGCACTGCACTCTTCTCAACCTTTGGCTATTTTCTATGTTCAGGTTTGGGATTTTTAGGCATTTGGCCAGAGTACTCTGGATAAAACTGCTTCCTTAAGTTGAAAACAGATTTGAGGAGCGGAGATAAAAAGTTCTTCTCTAGGCATTTGCTCATCAGATGACAGAGCTTCGAAGTCATTTTCCTTTCCTACAATCCCAGCTTTTTCCACTTCAGGGCATTTTCGTCTCTGAGCAAACTAAGTCACAGCTCCCGGGCCCTGCGGAACGTGGGTGGGACAAAGGGGACAGAGGGAAGGGCCATGGCCGGCGGGCAGACTCACAGGTGGGGCATGAGTTACAGGCGCTGCGAGTGCACGGCTGACCCCTGGACCCCCGTCCGCGGACGGCGGCATCCCTCCCGCCCGGCCAGGCCGCGCGCGTTCCCAGGAGAGTCAGGTGGGAACTCAGCACCTGTGCGTGACACCTGGCTTTCCGGGTCGGCCAAGGGAGCAGCGAACAAGGGACACCAGGTGGACTAAGACTGGATGGGGATGCTCTGCAAGCTTGGGGGAACTTTCCAGGACAGTGAGCCTTGAGATCGGAACGGGGGTGTGTGCTCGCGGACGCCGGAAGGCAGGCGGGCGTCCGCTGCGTTGCTGAAGCTCCCATGGTGACATCTTCCCGTGGCCCTGCGCCCCTGCCTGGCCCCACGCGCGGCTGTGAAACAAGGAGACACCTGAGGAAAGGACTTGGGCTCCTCGCGCGTGGACGCCAGCCAGGGTGCGAGCGCCCCCTCCTGGGACCGACGGCAGAGGCCAAGGGCGACCGCTTGGATGACAGATCACGTCCTCGGTTCAGTGTTTGCTAAACCACAACCCAGCTTAGACTGGGGACGCTGGGGACCAGACTTCCTATAGAGGGCGGGGCTTCTCTAGGAGGGCGGGACTTCCTGCGGAGGGCGGGGCGTCGCTCAGATACAGAGCCCAGAAACAAGCGCCCTGAGGGCGGGGCTATGTCAGGGGCGGGAACCTGCTCTAGGGCGGAACTACGTCCCGTACGTGCGGAGGCGGGGCTTTGAGTGGGGCTACGTTCTGTGGGCGGGGCTTGCCTCTGTGTTCTGGCCGAGTCACGAATAGACCTTCGCTTTGTGGGCGGGGCTCTGCTCGGTGGGCGGAACCGCGGCCTAGGAGGGGAAGTTTAATTGGCTGCCTCCCCCGGAACTTCCTGGATCCTGCCCGTGCCTGTGGCGTCCCCGGAGCTGGAGTGGCGTGCAGCCGCGCGAGGGTGTGAGAGGCCGCCCGGTGAGAGGTTCGTGGGGCTGGGGCTGGGGCTGGGGCTGGGACAGGGCTGGCGGGCCTCGCGCCGCTGTGGTCGGTCCGGGGTCGCCGCGCGTCTCCGACCGCAGGGCCTCAGCCGTGGGCCGGGGCCAGATTCTGGGTTTGTCAGGCGTCATGATTTCCGTGCGGTGTTAGGGGTATTCCCTGTCTCTCCAACTTAGGATCTTCCCTTCCCCATGGACCTGCCTGTGCAAGCCGGTGTGCTTCAGGTGTATGTCATCCTGTGCCACATCTGGCACATGGAAGCACTTGATGAATGGTTGGAGTTTGGTTACTATTGGAAGGATTTTAGGTCATTGAACTTAGGGAAACTTATATGTATTTTCTTTTCTATAATAATGTCTTTTCTGTAGTGTTCAGACCTGTAAAGAATTGTTGTGAGTTTTTTGAGCCAAACTCGACAGTTGCGGGGAAGCAGAACCTCAACGGATTGAGATGATGCTCCGGAGAATGGCGGGTTACATCTGTGTTTATACATTGCAATCAAAGGAGGGGACACACCCTGTTTCCCCGAAAATAAGACAGTGTCTTATATTAATTTTTGCTCCCAAAGATGCGCTAGGTCTTATTTTCAGGGGATGTCTTATTTTTCCATGAAGAAGAATACGGTACACATTTATTGTTAAATGAAAATAAAGGAAATTTATTACCTGTATACGGTACAGAGGTATGGTAGTTGTCAATACAAACCAGACAAACTGTGAATCCTACAGTATCAAGAATTTACTTATTTATTCAATGACAATCATGTCATCATCTTCTGGAACATCATCATAACAATTCAATTCCTGAATTTCCTGGTGAATTTCTTGTGACTCCATTTCTTTCAGAATCAGTGGACCAAATCTCTCATGTTTAACAATAGCATTCTGAGACAGAGCCTGGGGGCGGGGGGGGCTTATATTTCACTCAGAAGGAAACCTATAAGTAGGTCTTATTTTCGGAGGATGTTTTATTTTCGGGGAAACATGTAGGTGGGTAGATGGGTTACATGCAATCCATTGGTGATAGACTAGTAAGGCGGGAGAAAGCAAAGCAGGGAAACCCCTGGGATTGGATAAAAGGGAAAAAGATGGACACATATGCAGGAACAATTAACATGATAATGAAGGAATTAGTGGCATCTGTCCGCGCCTAGCACTTTTGGTTGTGCCCGAGGGGGTCTGGAAAAAGGGAAGTTACAAGTTACAGATATTTCTAAGTGTGTGTTATTATAGATGCAAAAAGACAAATAGGCTCAGTTAAGGTAAAGGTTGACCATGATAGTGAAGATACCAGCCTAGGAGGTGACTACCCACCATCACTGCGTTCAATTACAGTTTAATTTCAGACCTTCCTTGTGGTGACTTTAGGTCTGAGTTTGCAAGACGGCCACGCAGGCCTCCCCTGAGCTGTCAGGCCAGCACGTGCTTCTGTCCACAGTGTCATTTTTAAGTATTAACTACTGTTGGGGTGGAAACGTGGCTGTTAAGTAGTTGGGGACTTGGAGGATGTAAACTTCAGAGAGACACAATGTGAGCAAAGGGAAGGAAGCAGTGATAGGCAGATGTCTTCAGAGAACAGTGTGCAGCAGGGTGCTGGAAGGCAGAGGAGAGTGACAGATGTGTCTGGTTCTGGGTTCCAGTAGCTGCCAGAGCACATTGCTCCTTGTGCCCTCACAGGGTTTTGCATTAGCATGTTCATTTCATAGACTGTTCAGGGTAGACTTGGGTGCACGTGGCTCATGCCAGGGCTGGACAGCCTTTCTGTAAAGGGCCAGATAGCAAATACTTTAGGCTTTGTGGACCACAGTTACAGCAGGAAAGTGCCCGTAAGATAATACATAGTTGAATGGACATAGCTTTGTTCTAATAAAACTTTATTTACAAAGAAGATGTCTAACCTGATTTGGTCCATGGGTATTGTTTGCCCAAGCCAAATCTAGGTACTAGCAGTAACCCAGTAAATATTACATCATACTTTTGTATTGCATTTTCATTTATACAGGGTCGGGCAAAAGTAATTGTATGGGAAGTAATACAATAATCTATAGTAATTAAAGGGTAATATGCTAATTAGACTGGATATCTTCTGATTGTCATTCCAGAAGTCTTTCCTGATGAAGCTGGGGATGGAGGGAAGTTGCTCTTCTTCCAGGTGCCGGCCGGTGGCCAGAGCAAAGCCCGGGTCCTGGGTACCAGAGGGAAGCCAGGGGAAAGAAGGGCTAATCTTGCATGATTTTCATGCATCGGGCCTCTAGTTCTATATAATAAAAGCCTAATGTGCTAATGATATGCTAAGGCTGCGTAATCTCTCACTATGACATACACTGATTACCAGGAGGCAGAGAGTCAACCACTTGATCAGGCACTGTGATGTGCACTGATCACCAGGTAGGTTAGCACACTTCAACAGGAAGGTTAGCTGGCTACTGGATTCTGGCCGACCAGGGCTGAGCAAAACAGGCCAGATGTGCCCTGGAGCCCTACCGTAGTCCCTCCCCAGCTGACCAACCTCCTCCATCCCTCCCTGGCCTGATCGTGCACTGGTGGGGTCTCTCAGCCTGGCCTGTACCCTCTCGCAATCTGGGACGCCTCGGGGATGTCAGAGAGCCGGTTTCAGCCCAGCCTCACAGGCCAAGCTGAGGGACCCCACTGGTGCATGAATTTGTGCACTGGGCCTCTAGTTAATCCTATATAATAAAACCCTAATATGCAAATCGATCAAAAGGCAGAACTACCAGTTGCTGTGACATGCACTGATCACCAAGGGAACAGATGCTCACTGAAGAAGCTGCCCCCTGGTGGTCAGTGCACTCCAAAAGCCAGGCTCACAGCTGGTGGGCACAGCGGCAGTGGAGGGAGCCTCTCCCACCTCTGCTGCAGGCAGGCGGTAGGGAGTGAGGGGTCCTGGACTGCAAGAGCCCTGGGCTGCAAGAGGGATATCTGACTGCCAGTTTAGGCCCAATCCCCTTGGGCGTAAGCCTGCAGACGGACATCCCCCGAGGGGTCCCAGACTGCAAAAGGGTACAGGCTGGGCTGAGGGACACCCCCCATACAGTGCACAAGTTTCGTGCACTGGGCCTCTAGTAAACAATAATACAAGAACAAACTTCCACATACAACTGTAAACCTACTTTTTGCCCACTCTGGACAGGAGTGGCCATATTCCACCACTAGCTCTGCGTGGCATTCCCTGATTACTACTGCTGTGACAGTGGATGCATTAACTTCCCTTTGAATGGGGATAAAAAGGACACAAAGTGTTGTGAGGAGGAAATTAAAGTGCATAAAACGAAGGCATAGTACTTGTACATATAGTAAAAGCTTAGTAAGTCTTGACTGTTAATATTTTTTAAATTGTTCCTCACGTGCATTGTTAAAGAGATTGGAGAGATGTGTCTAAGGTAGAACTTACAGGCTTAGTTTGTGTTTAGCTATAGAATAAAGAATATCTGAAGTTTCAAGGCAAGAGCCATCTATAGGGAGATGACCTGACAGATGTGAAAGTAATTTAAGGGAGGTGGGAGTAGGAAGTACAGGATTAAGTTCTGTCCTTAATCAGAACTTAATGGGCACACCGGAGAGGACATGGGAATGAAAGAAGAAAGGAGTCAGTCCTAGGATATGGCACCGGAGTGTACAGCAGCATGTGAACTACAGGGTGGGTAGTGATGGTTAACATGGTGGGCTGCTGCAGGAAGCTGAAAAAGCACTGTGTTGATATTGTTGAGTCAACCAGCAAAAGTGAATTTGGCGCCTCCTGTGGGCCAGGTGCTGTAAATGCAAAAAAGAATTAGATACCTACTCTGCATTTCCAACGGCAGGAAACCCAACGGCGGCTGAAGACATGGAGTGATTTAATACATGCAGCAACTTAAAAATGGCCGGCATTAAGGTGGACTTTCTTGGATTTAATTGGTACCTGCACTCTAAAAGCTTAAATTGATTTACAGTCATAAAAGTGGGCAGCTTAATTGAGCTTCTTTTCTTTCTTTTCTAGACAATGGCCAAGAACAAATGGAAAGGGCAGAAGCACAGGAATGTGTTTCACATAGCCAGCCAAAAAAACTTCAAGGGTAAAAGTAAAACAAAACCCGTGACCACGAATCTTAAGAAGGTGAACATTAAGCACCCAGCTTCCTTGTTTATAAGCAAAGCATGACGGCAAAGCTAATGAGAAACCGAATGTTTTTATTTAAAACAGGTTCTTAGCCTCCCCTACAAGGGCAGAAGGATTTTAAACATTTGTTTTTTTAAAAAAAATCCAGATATACAAAAAGAAAAAAATTAACTGCAAACCATTGAGACTCCCAAGTAACAGTTTGATAGCTTTATCGGATCTCGGCAATCCCCATCAGAACCTGTCTTCTCTGACCTCGGGCATATTCAAGAACCTGTCAAGTGAAAATACCATACTGTGTTCCTTAAAATGCAAAATTTGAAAAGTTTATCTTTTTTTTTTACTTCAAAATATTTGGGCAATAGGAAATTTATTCATCAAGATGGATATAGAGAGTGAGTCCTGCAGAAAATGTTTTCAGGTTGAAATAGTATGTGGCATCAGCTCTCTGGGACTTAGTAAATATCATGATAGCGCACAGAAATGTAACATTTTATTTTTCAGTTTTCATGAACTAGTTGAGATCAGCTTTTTGATCAAGCGGCTTTATGATTTTGGAAATGTTATAAGGGAAATAAGGCCCGTGATACTACGGGGGTTTGGAGTGACACTTTCACATGGAATCACCAAGCCGAGTGAGAAGGAGCTAGTGATGCGGAGAGCGGTGGGGGGGTGGGGGGGGGAGCGCCAGGGCAGAGCACTGCCAAGGCCCAGGTGGTGCTTCCTCGGGTGGAAGTGCCCAGAGAGAGGTGTGTGCATTGGCAGCCTGGGCAAGTAGTTATGTCCGAAAATGGCCTGACTTACCAGAGGAGGGTGGTGGGCGGCCAGGCACCAGGTAAGTGGTCAGAAGTTTGTGGCCACGGATTTAAAATGAAGCCACTCACCCGGCTACGATTTTCTAGGGCTTTGGTTTTAGGCTCAATAGTCTGATCAGTGAGTATAACTGGCTTGCAGGCAAGTATGATATGGGAGAGATGTGGAGAGAGGAAAGTTTAGTGGTTGAGGAAATAGTGGTCTTAGGTCTGTGCTGGCTGAGGGAGTGCAGGAACGTGAAATAATGGACGCAGAAGCTGCAGTGAGATGTGAGAATCCTGACTGAACTGTATGTGGACAGACAAGGACGGGCAGAGAAGATCACAGCATTAGGTTGTTGGTGGGGCCACAAGCAATGACGCCAGGCCTGGACTTAGTGAGCCGAGGCTGGACATCTTTCATGAAGGAGCAAGTAGTCGGTGTTGGCAGGTGACAGTGGGGAGGGTGAAGCCAGCGTGTCCCAGGACATAAGGTTTACAGGAAGAATGAGACCTCCACCCCACCGTTCAGATTCAAGATGGGGGCTGCCGGGTGGCTGTCCTCAGACTGCCGGGACCTCCACTGGGGCCAGAAAGTGAGGGAGGCTGAGGATAGCAGGATAGGGGCATGGGATGCGAGCTCCCGCCTCATTGGCAAGAGATAACAGCTTGGCCATCTGGTCCACGTACTGGCCTGCTTACCCAGGTGAAGTCAAGATAGGGGGTGTTCCACATACTTGTCCTTAAAAAACAGAACCTTTTGTCCAACATTGCCCAATAAGACTGAGATTTTAGTGTAAAGCTTGCCCAGAAACTGATACAATTGACTTGAAGAATTTAGGTTTAACAAGGTTAAATGAAGGTTGAGTATATTTTATCCTTAAGGGTTATGAGGTCATGGATTAATAATGTTCTTTTTCTTTTTTAAAAAGATAAACATTGTGAATGCTGAAAAAGTTAAAAGAATGAATGAAGCTTTTGTGGACATACAGAAGGAGCTTGCTCACTTTTCTCAAGGCCTTTCCCTCGAGCCTCTGCAGAAACAGCTGGTGCGTAGAGCATTTCCTTTTAATAAACGGAGGCTAATAAATTAACCCCCTAATTCCCACAGCCTGTAAGTCAAATGTGATCTTCAAGTACTTGGCTCTCTGGTGTACATGGCTGTGCTGTGTGTATAGCATATTCATGAACATTGTGAACATGAGAATTTACCATGTTTCCAAAGGCATGAGTAGAAATGAAGTTGGGTACTAGATGAATGGGTAATTTTGTGCACCACTGTTACCTGTTTACACCTAATATTTCCTCCCTCCAGGCTCTGCAGCCAAGTCCAGAAAACAAACCAGTGAATGTTGACGAAGCTACGAGATTAATGGCTCAGTTGTAATGTGCTTGTCCCCCAAAAACCAATAAATTAAATGCTCTATACAACTTTATTTTTAAAAATCTTGTTAATGTACAGACATTGGCACATTTTAAAACAAGCTACATAAACAGCCCTCTCCTATAATCCAGGAAGTGGTATGTCAGGAGTCAGCAAATGTGGTGAACTTAAAGTGCTAACACGAAGGCACTTCACAAACTCTTCTCCAGAAGTGACCACAGCTTCTTGGACATCTTCACTTCATACGTGGCAGTGACATCAGGATGGGAGTGCAGAAATAGGACAGTTTCGTGGCAGTAAAAGTGGAACACAAATAATAGTAAGTGAGGAGCCCTTGGCCATTTTGGTTTTTGATGACCTTTAACCTTATAACTTTCCTCTCATAAGAGTAAAACCGGAATTAGAATTGGAAGGAAGTTGAAGTCCCAGAATGCAGTCCCTCTAGGGCTTCGAAGAGCCCTTTGTTTTCACAGTTGACGTTTTGTGAAGTCAGAGAGCAAGAGTTAGGGAAGTAGACACCGGAATCAACAACTTAATCAGGTGTTACTTCATTATAAATATCAGGTGATTAGCAAGTCTACAAGGTTTCAGTTAGAGGTAGATAACTGTCCCAGGTTTCCAAAGTCTAATAATTTAGTATCTGGACATCAAACAGGTCACACACTCCTTCACTGTCATCTAAATTAAAGTTGTAGTCGTCTGCGGGGGTAGGGGAGAGCCGCAGGAGAGGAAACACTGCAAGCAAAGCACAGGTTCAAGGTTAATGTGGCTCCACACACTCAAAAGACCCCTCCGTTAAATTACCATTTCTGTGTGGAAAAGCAATGATCAAATTAATGACTTGTGTTTACTGTGCATATTGAGATTCTTGTTTTAAGACAGTTTGTGCACGGACTTAGGTATAAGCTTGAGAAATGGGTTGTTGAGGCTGACAGACTTCAGTTTAGAGTGTGACATGGCCACGGTCAGGAGCAGTGTGGTGGCTTCATGTTGGCCTACGGGTGACTGACAGCTTTACTGGCCATGGCCAGATTCCTGTGGAGTGAAAGGACTGGTGTGACAGCGCCTAGGGAGTCTGCTCGGTGCAGGCAAGTGGCCCCTGACCAGAGTCCCCTTGAGAAGCAGGCACAGACCGGTGGGGCCAGACTTCCAGGGTTTACTCACCAGTGTTAGTGAAGGAGAATTTTCACAACTTGCCACAAGGCACTAAGTACTTAATCAATCCTGTGCCACCTTTAGCTCCAGGGAAGCAGCTCTGCCTGAGGGAGGTAGTACCACGTAAGCTGCTTACCGTCAGAAGACATCAGTTCGTCAATGATATCTCCAGTAACAGATCCTGTGGGAAGAGAAAGGTGATCGCGCTATAATATCTCTGCAGTGGGGACGTTAAACACGGGAGTCCGCATCAGCCCCTCCACTCAGTCCACGTGAAGGACTAGAATGCATGTGTTCATTCACACCTACAAGTTTCACTTGTAAATTTCTAACTCAAGTTGCCCCAAAGCCACCGCCGCCTCCCACAGCGGACTCCTGGGCTTTAGCCAGTAAAGCGCCATCACTTTTCATTCAACACGTTATATGGAACTTATTTTGCCTAAACATTTCCTGCGTGTTCTTTCTTTCTCTCATGCACCCACTGCCATCACCCTCCTGTGCCTAAATGTGCTCACAGCTGCACACCGCCCTGCCTTCTGCTTCCCAGGCGTCTCCTCCCAGCCACGTGCTGGCACTCAGCGCCATGTAGCCTCCATGGCCACCTCCCGGTCACAGCACGTCACTGGCTACCCACTAATCCTCACTCACTCTGTCACAGCCCCAAGCCACCTTCCTTACTATTTCCTGATACAAAACCATCTACGGAAACTGACTGCTCAGCCTTTGTTGAATGCTCAAAGCCGATGGACTAGGTCTGAGCTGAACCTTTCAGCGCTTGCCTGCTTTCTTCCCCCATTAGGTTATACTCGGAGGACAGGCATCCCCACACCTGATGGTAGAAATACAGGGACCACAGGATGGAGGGGACAGGACATGACCCTGAGGCGCTCTGTGTGTGGTCAGACCTTCACAGCCTCACCAGGTCCCACTGAGAGCAACCTGGGCAGCAGACTCCTGCCCTGTCCTGGGACACGTCCCGAAAGTACAAATGAGGCCAGTTTAAATGACCTGCAGCACTGCGTCTAGACGGGTGTGACAGTCATCCCTGAGCCGAGTTCCAGACGCAGGCACCGCAGGGAGGACCGAGGACTAAGGGGTCTGCGCTCCACCGCCTGACTCAGCAAAGGCGGCCAGGGGTGCAGTAACCTGTGGCGAGATCACCGTACAAAGCACACTTCGGATAAGAGCAGACGCACACATGGCAGCAGAGGCGCAATGGAGCCCTAAAGAAAAGTGCACTTCAGGCCGTTCAACACTGCCGAGCGTGCAGAGCTCCAAGTTCAGCCACACCACACTCCCACTGTTTGCTTCTGAATAGACAGATCATGTGTGTAAAGTGTATCTTCAGAAACAGATCCATAACAACATATTGAAATACTTATACAATAATACACTTAATTATAACCAAACAATATAAATAGTATAAAAAGACAGGATGTTTCTCAAACCTGTCCCGGCGCTGGACACAGACTGCATCACCTTTGCTGATTAAACTAGCTTCCTATTTCCCTCCTGCACAGGTGACAGTCACTTGGGCACAGACAAATTCAGAAAAGCTCCCCTTCCTAAGAGGAGGCTCTGGGCCCACCTGAAGCCGAGTCTGTGGCCGGGACGTGCTCGAGGCCAGGGGTCCTCTCAGAGGCGGGTGGCCCCGGGGGGCTCGGCGGGGTGGGGCTGGGCTTGTGCACAGTCCGGGGAGAAGGCTGAGGGGGGGGCTGCGTGAGGTCGTCCGGTGGGGGAACAGGGAAAACCACAGGCTGAGACGAGCTGGACTCTTTATTTATCAGCAGCACGTGGATGGGGCCCGAGTGACTCTTTAGGTTGATCTGGTACTTCTTCTGTCCATTCTGACCCTTTGAAGTGGTTGGGTGCAAACAAGTTGAAAATGAGATAAAGCTACTAGGGAGTAACTAAATCCACACAACAAAACAGGCAGTCAGTCAGAACACTGAGCAGAGACCATGAGGAGAACAGGGAATGGAACTCTAAGCCCCTTAAAGTAAACGTTTCTCAAAAAACTGAGTTCCAAAAACTCAGTTGTAGACTTCTGGCAGACCTCCCTTTTGACATCATGGCTGCTCACATTCTGTGTGGACTCCCTCCTGGGTGTGGGCCCAGGCACGTGGCCCCTCCGCTGCCCTCCATCTCCGGCAGCAAGCACATAACCGCGGGCTTTTCCTGCAGAGGGGAGCAACGTCCCTTTTTCCAAGTCCCGAGGCCCACTCTGTGAACACCTACATGCAAGCCCTCGGGTGGCAGGGCAGGGCGGTGACAGCGTCACCTTTGTCTGCCCGTCTCTGCTTGCTAGCTTTCAAATGAGTTTCAGAACTCCGGATCCCAAACTAAATTCATGAAACTTGGACGCGGCAAAGAGTTAATTCATATATGACTCAGTGTTAAAATGACCAGATGTGTTAAAATGACCCAATCTAAAACAATGTATTACTGTTGATATTTCAATTCAACTTCTTCCACAGACAGGATTGGTACATGGGTTGCAGAAACAGCCAAACTGATGCTTTAAGGTTATTGACTATAACATGATTCATGAAATCAAATTTTTAAAAAATAAAATGCTACGTAATTCAGTCATGTCTCCAGTTTTACCCAAGTACTGAAGACATCCAGACTCAGTATGGAGGCCCTGCACTGACGCCTGAGAATGGAACTCTCAGCCCCAGGGAGCTCGTGCGCGGAGGCGGGCGAGGGCCTCCTTCCCCAGCCAGCAGTCCGCTCTGACCAGCCACCTACCAGCTCCGGAAGTGGGGCCTCCAGCTGTGTGCCAGCAGGTGCCTGGAGGGCCAACAGTGTGTCACCTGTCAGGAAACAGAAGTTTCAATTTTAGTAAATAGAGTGGCAAGCGGGTGGGCCCTGGAGACTGAGGCTTGAGTTTGAATCCCAGGCTCAGGCTTTGCTTCTTCCTCTGTAGAGAGGGACTAACCCTGCAGGGTTGTGCTGAGAAGAGGTCACAGATGTAGAGCTTAGATCTATCGCTCTCCTGAACAAGCTCAGTCCAGTGAAGCTTGTTGAATCTGAGACTCTGACAGCTTTCTGACGTCAACTAAACTCAGTTTACTGGAAATAGCTGAGATATTGTAATGATCAGGACACCAGAGGCAGTGCGATACTCTGAACTCCGGAGCGTGAGTGCTCACCTGGGAGCCCAATCCTACCCTCTCTGTGGAAGACGATGCCTCCGGTGGCCATGGCCGGCGACAGCCACCCCTGCCTGCAGTCAGTGACAGGCGTCCCGTGACAGGCATGATCACCGAGACGTGTGCGCTGACCCCCTGGCCACTATTCATGGCTTATGTGGTCATTTCCGGAGCCACACGAGGTGGGTGGGCTGGGGAGCCGGTTTTCCTCGTAGGTTACTGTAATATATTGAATTGTAATACAATAATCTACGCACACCCTGCTTCCTCTGCGCTGGGCCCGACTCACTCGCTGCAGCTTCACAGCCAGAGCGATGAGCACTGAGTTCAAGTTGGCCCCTGACTGCGACTGTCATTCAGCCCCAATCGGACGGAGCTGCCCCTCCCACCCCGTTACCGCCAGCCGTGCAGACAGGGCCATGAGTGGGAACAGTGGTCACTGACATGGAACAGAATGTGAGCGGCTGTGAGCCCAGTGCACTACTGTGAGACGAGGAACCCACTCCTGACCCTGGCCCGGTGAACCCCGGGTTCGAGTCTCCGCAGCAGCGGTCGATCAGAGGCGGCACCCACTCACCGTGGAAGCAGTTGCAGATGTCCTCATGGGTCACGTAGGAAAATGTGCGTCGCAGGAGTTAAGGAACACGTTTGCACAAGTGCTAGGCATTTCCGTTAACAAACCAGAGGTCTGAACAAACAACGAGAGAGCTGGCGACTGCTGTACACAGAGGAGAAAAGCGGTCTCAGCCTGCGAAAGCAGACGTCCAGCAAAAGCGCCCAGAGGGCCTGCTGCTCTGGGCTCTGTGGCTGCGGACCCTCCGGATAGAAACCTCTTGCTCAGGAGCAGGCTCTGGGGTGCTGGGGCGAGGCGGATGCTACAGCCACAGAGGCTCCACACCCACACCTTCGTGGGCCGCAGTTTGGGTCCTAGGAGCAGCTGGGACCTTGGAAAGCCTCGCAGCAAAGTCCAAGGTCAGCCAGTCCAATGGGTTTGGAATCTTGGGGCTCCACAGGGCACAGCTTGAAACCCCAAGTTCTCACATTGAAAGAGCTCTGACCAACAGAAGAAGTGACATGTGAGCTCATGGACCTGTGCACCCAGGACGAGATGACTAGGAGCCTCCCTGACCTCAGGTAGGTCAAAGTTCACGAGACACGAGGCTGATGCAGGGGAAATGTCCCAGAGAGCAAAGGGGCGCTTGCATATCCAGCCAGGCAACTTGGTGTACCCCTCTTCCTTCTAATCCAGCAGACGCACCAGCCTCTGGGAGGCTCTCGCTGAGTTAGGATCAGGGGAAAGTACCCCGGGTTGTCCAGCCCACATGAACTTCTCCAAGCTGTGTGCTGCTGAATGCTCACCCCTCCAGAACATGGAACAGGGGCGGGGCCCACGAATCATTGGGTCTGGCTCTGCCAAGGCATTAGGGGTGAGCTAATTAAACATCTGACCAAAGATAGCGGGCTCATTGTCAAGGTGATAAATCTGTATGGCCCTGGGCAGAAAAAAGGTTCTCACCCGATTTACAATAACCTACGCACTTCATAGCGGTGTCTACAATCCACAGAAGCCCGAGCATGGCAGTTAGCAATGGATAGATGGAAAAAAGACAAAATTTATTTTCTCAATGAGACACAGGAATGATGGTACTAAATAGACTATGTAACTTAAAAAGGCAAAACATTTAAATTGTTAGAAACATAAAATGGAAATGTTACATTTACTCCTAAACTTAAATCTCTAAACACAGTGAACAAAGCACCGACTCTTGGCTGGGAGGACGTCAGGCAAAGCTTGCTGGTCGCTGGCCCTGCTCCGTACCCCCCTCCCCAGCGCTGTGATGTGCAACCATGGAAAAGGATATCTGCTGTTGAGGGTGTCATCCATCACATTGCGAATGCTCTGCTGCAGCCACAACTTCTGCTGATCCAGCTCCCTTTCCTTCAGGTCCAGGTCTTCCACCTCAGCTCTGAGGTCTCGCAGTCTCTCCAGCACTTCCTTCGTATTGCAGCCCGCGCCCACACCTCTACACACAGGGAGCACGCACACATGTCAGACCCAGGCCAACTACACACCTGATCTTGACAGCACTAACACTGAAGGAGCAACACTGAAGATAAAAATCTTTACATTCTTATAAAAATAAAGGATTAAAAAAATTAATTACCACACTCAGAACATGATTGCTTAGAATATTTCTTGGCAAGAAGAGTGCAATTTCAAAATTTCCCAGCATGTTTTATCACGATCACCTGGAACGTCAGGCTGGTAACAGATACACCAAAAAGGTGTCACAGCCAATCTGTTCAACTTGGACATCTCAGATGTAGACTGAGACACAGGTGAAATGAATGATAACCTTTATGTATTTTGGTGGGTTTCTGACCAAAAAAAAAAAGGAGGTCAAAGGGGACAAATTTGCAAAACAATGCATTTTGCCACCAACATACAACCAGATTATGGTTAAGAGACAATGTGCATTTCGATCAACTAATTTATGAGGCACATGTTCACCCGGGAAGACGTAGTTCCTGCTCCTAGGCGTTTGTGTTAATTGATCAGCTGACAAGCACTGGGGTGGAGAGGGACTGATGACCCAGCAGAGTGCGGGTGCCGTGCGGGGCTTTGGGGGAGAACGTACGATGTGCGTTTGAAGAGTAAATTAAACCACAGAGAGCAAGGGCCACGTTCGGGCGGGCACGGAAGCCCCCGCAGGTCCAGGCGGCTGCGGCCGGGGAGGGCACAGGCGGCAGAGGCTCAGGAGCGCCGGGCTCTGCTGCTCGGGAGGAGCCGGTCCCGGAGCAGAGCCTGCCATGCCTTACCCTGCCTTGCCACTTACTTCCACTGGATGCTGTTTTTTGACTTTTTCTCAATCAGGTCGATCCCTTCCAAGACGTTGGTGATGTCATAAATTCTTCTTTTCTGCCTCACAGCCAGAGTATCTGCAGCCTGTTCACAAAGGGATCAGGGCCACTCAGAGCCAGCGCAGATGGGAACAGTGGCTGGGAGTTCAAGCAGCTCCCTCCCTCCGTCCTCCACCCTACCCCCCACCCCCCAGGCCCATGGACACCATGTAGTCAGCAGATGCTGAAACGGCAGGAAGATGGAGAGATGGGGGCACAGAGCCCGTGGATAAAGGAATGGTGAGAACCCCTCTTGGCGCCTCCTGGGCTAATCCGGACAGCAACTGCCGACCTGCCGCTCCTGTCTCATTTCCCAGCTCATACAGTCTGGACTACAGACAGCTTCAGCTCTTTTTTGAAACTTTGAAAAATTCTATCTCGGAAATTTAAAAAATAATTCAGCTAACTTACTTGGGGCAAATGCTGAAGGACACACATGGCGAACCTGACACACTGAGCACTTCTGAAACCGTGACACCCCCCGCAAACCCCTGCCCCATGCCGGCCGGGCCGCCATCCGCATCCAGGGGCCTCACTCGCAGCCACAGGTCAACAAAATGCCCGAGTTATGGCTGACTTCAGGAGTTCTAGCCATTCCCATTTTTCTAACAGAACAAGTGGAAACTAAATAACGGGACCCACGGCTCTTTTCGGCAGCAGCCTGCGGAACATGGCACAGTCTCGGTTCCTGCAGCCTCGAGACTCCATGTCCTCACCATCTGTACCCGCCCTCAGGGCATCACAATCTCCCTGAGCCTGTAAGAAAGCAGCTCCTACTAAACCCATAGCTTTTTAAAATCTAAATTTGGTGGTTTTTTTTTTTTTTTTTTTTTTTTTTTTTTTAACACATTTTATTTTTTATAGAGAGGAAAAGAGAGGGATAGAGCTAGAAACATCTATCAGCTGCCTCCTGCACACTCTTGCTGGGGATGTGCCCGCAACCAAAGTACATGCCCTTGACCGGAATCAAACCTGGGACCCTTGAGTCCACAGCCCGGTTCTATCCACTGAACCACACCAGTCAGGGTAAACCCATAATTTTGGAAGCTGGACCTCTCCCCGGGAGCAAGTGTGACGGACAGCCCCCTTACAGGCATGTGGAACTGTGAGGGCAGCGCTGGTTCTAGAAGCCATGGGGGGCCACCACAGGCGCAGGCAGCCCGGCTCATCTCTCGGGTCCTCAGGGGCCTGTGGACCGGCGGAGCTGGGCAGTTGCCACAGGACCAGGCCGGGCTCAGCAGTGCCTCTGCTCGCCCGCCTGCGGTGTCTGAGGACGGGAGGCTCCTTTTCTGGGGGGCGAAAGCCACTGCAGAAGCACCTGGAGCTGTGGGCGCAGCACATTTCGCACTCTCCTCGGACCAGGCTCTTGAGAGGGAAGCCAGGCCCCAGGCACTGGGTCCTCCAAGCAGGTGCTCAGACAGAGCAGCCTCTCCTTGTCCCCTCCTAGCTCAGGCTAGAACACCAGGGTGGTGGCAGGATACAGACCACAGAGCTGTCCTTGGTCTTCAGGCAAAGAACCACCAGTGTCCCTTTCAGCTCTACTTCTGAAGTTTCCTACGACGTCACAACTTGCACATTCAGCCCTTGATTTCCAAAACTCACATTCTTTCCCTTTACACACACACACACACACACACACACACACACACACACACACACAAACACACACTCACACCCAGAGCGCATGCACAGCCACAAGCAGAGTATGTGGGCAGGACTGCAGGAGGCTTGGCGTGGGCACACACCAGCCCTGCAGCCAGGATGCACCGGGCACTGTCAGGTGTCTGCGGGCCCTGACGCCCGGGGGGGGGGGGGGGGGTCTTGGGGAGAGTAGAAAGGGTAACCAGGTTAGACCACGGCCACAGGCCCTCGAGAGGATTTGCAGGACCACTGTGGACCAGTCACAACTGTCCGGCAGGTGACGGATTCAGCCTCAGTGGAGAAGAGATGCCAGGGAAGGAGGTGGAGCACTGGGCAGTGCCAGGGACGCTTGACGGCAACTGTAGGAACTGTGAGGTTTCTCCAGAGTGTAAGATGGCAGACAGGCAGGCATCTCCTTGTGATGGCTTTTATTTCCTCTCCAGTGGGGTGCAGTGAAGGGGGGCGTGGCTGAGAGAGAGGGGCAGAGTGAAGTCCCCCCCTCCCCGGGAGCAAGTGAGCGAGCGGCAACAGCAGAGCTGGACCCACATTCCTCCAGCCCCAGAGACCTGCCTTGGTGCCCAGGGTTGCCCAGGGCAGGGCGGTGCGTGCCCATCCCCCATGCACTGCAGCTGCTGAGTAAACATGGTCCCATGCACCAGAGCCCCTGACAGACCTGCACTGGGACTGACTGTCTGGTCCTGAAGGAAGCATATCATTGCACCACCCCCGCTCCCTGGGCCAGGAGAGCACACGAGCAAACAGGCCTCAGAGGAGAATAACCCCTCCCAACACAGAGTCCTCCCCTAACAATGTCACCACGGGAGCACGGTGATGCCCAGGCGGACGCCATTCAGCCAGGGACTGGTGGGAGGTGCCCAAGACAATGAACAGGTGAACCCCTCACAGGCTGCACCTGCGGGACCTGGCTGCCCAGCACTCCACCCAGGTCCCTGGCGGGGTCCTCTCAATGTGAGCTCTGGAGGGCGGGCCCCAGGGTAGCTGTTTGCTTAGGATTAGCTGCAGCTCATCTGCCCAAGAGAATTCTGAGGGCACAGGAAGCTCTGAACACAGTAACTAGGGAGCGCCTGTCCCCAGGTTATCACCTGCAGAGCAGACTGCTGCTCCCTTCCGGGACCACAGCTGGCAGGACACGTGGTCACTGTTTGGGCTTCTAAGCATCCAAACCCAAACGCACATGTGATACTACCCAATGACCAATTGTTACACACACACACACACACACACACACACACACGCACGCACGCACGCACGCGCACGCATGCACGCACGCACGCACGCGCGCACCGGAAAGAAAGGTGGGAGGAATCCGAGCGGCTCAGCAAGGCTGCCCAGGATGTATTTTAATGAGAATTTTACAAAGCCTTCAATGTGCTGTGGATGCCAGGGTTCTAGTTACCTTCAAACACGGTAGATTATGAGCAGAGAACCTTTTAACAGGACCTACATTACTGACCTTCCCCTGGCATCACCTAAGTCATCGCGCAGCTGCTGGTAACGTGGTTATCATTCTGTTTCACGGGACAGATTCGGAAAGCGAATGGGTACTCAGATGCCAATTAGCATTAATTATGTATTTGTGACACACATTTGTGGCAAAACATTTTCAAATGTTCCTAAAACACTTAAATAAATGGGTGTGCAGGCAAAGGTCCCAGCTACCCAGCCCCTGCAGGCGCAGCCTGGCACCAGTCTGCAGGCCTGAGGAAGCAGGAAGACCTTCTCTTCATTTATATATTTATGAAAAGCTAACGAAGAGGCACGTGTGTCTAAGGCTTGGGACTGTGCTGACGTAGGAGGAGGTTTACAGGAAACCTCGGTCGTGCGAGGCCCTCAGTGGGACTGCAGGGGCTCTGGGTTCTGGGGAATGAAAAGCCCAGGAACCACCTTCCTTCGGCAGAGGCCGGCGGCTCAGCCTCAGTGCCAGCTCGCCCTGGCCCGGGGCTCCCCAGAGACGCTGCAGGTGCATTCCCACCCGGACTCGGGAGCCTTGACATGTGTACGATTTCCGTTTGTTCCAATTTTTAGTTTTTGACTTTAATAAACTGCATAAGCTTTGACATGGAGCTTCACTTCTGATGTTCCTGTCCTTGAGCAGTGTATGTCAGAGGTTAGGAAAGAGATGGCATACTGGTGGTCTTGGCTATTTCGTGGCAGCCGGGACATGGGAATGATATAATTTTTCAGATTCATGATACTCACAAAAACTGTTTCTTGAACTGCTTCTTAAAAGTAAAAAGTGTATAACTCCAAAGTATTAATAACTTATGATGAAATGGACCATCCAAAGTAAGAATATAAGAAAAAAACGATTTTATAATTTCAAACTACATCAAATTACAGATGTATTGTCAAAAACGTAATGATAAAAAACAAAAAGGAAAAAAAATGCGTTAATGATGTTTTTCTATTTTGTACAATAAGAAACATTGGAAAGACTTTAATGTAGATTTTTTAGATATATATTTTAGATTTTTTTAGATATATATTTTACACATCATATATATAAATATAAATGATTTATATATATAAATGAATGAAAAGTGTATGTAAATGAACGATGTTTTTTCCAGGTATATGTAAAAAAGAATGATACTCAATGTTCCCTCGGCATAAAAAATCATCAGTGTAATAAGACCATGGTATTGCAGAACCTCTAACCTTTAGGAAACTGATTAAACAGTAACTCCTCCTGCTCACTGGCCCCCGACTCCCAGAGATCGATTTCAGGAGCATTTCCGGGACAAGAGGAAGCCAAGAACCCCAGGCAGGGGCGCAGCTGCCTCATCTCCAGGCAAGCGGAGGGAGAAGGAAGCCTCCAAAGTCAGCCCCTGGAGTCCAGTTTTCTCTGGGAAACCCAAAACTTGCGTCCTTCCTTTTATTCAAGGCCAAGGCTACAGGTGAAGTTCTAGGTTTTCAGCAGCACCTGCAGGCTGTGTGGTAACACCCTCACACTCCCTGTGAAGAAGGCATTTTATTTAGGTCACGACCACAGAGTGGTCCGGCATGAAGCGACACCGCACGTGCAGCCGCCGGCCCATGGGTTCAAGCACAGCCGGAGCCACGTCACGGCCGCTCCAGGGAAGCCAGGGCCTGAAGACCCCCCACCCGGCAACTCAGGTCCCAGAGGAGCTGGGGGTGCAGCCAGGTGGGCGTCCTGGGCCGGGTGGGGACACGCCGGGTCAGCTGGGCTCAGGACGGGCGCTGGGGTGTGCAGTGCCTGCGTGGACGCTGCCTCACCGGCGGGTTGACAGCCGGTCCGGACTTACACTTGGCCTCGGGCTGTCCCCTCGCGCCCGGGGCGCTGTGCGGCTGACAATCCGGAATGGCGGTCCACCGGCTGCGTGACCAGCGGCCTCCGCTCACGGGTCCCTGGGAGGCCCTGGCTCAGGCGGCTTTACAGGGACAGAGGCCCCCTGGCGACACTGCGCGCCCTGCCACACCCAGCCGCACCCCGAAAGCCCGCCCCACGCAGGCCAGAGCCTCACTCCTCTGCGGGAGGGCGGCAGAGGGAGGCTGAGTCCGCTGGAACCGCACCCCACGGGGCGCGCAGCCCAAGGAAACGCCGGTCCCAACAGCGCGGGGGCCAGGCTGCTCTTCCTGGAGAGCGAGCAGGGCTGCAGCCACGCGGCGGGGCGGGTGCTGGGCTGGCTTTCTCCCCCTCAGGCCGCCCCCCGCCCCGCCCCGCCCCGCCCCACAGCACGGCCCGCCCCCGCCCCGCGCCGCCCCCGCCCCGCCCCACAGCACGGCCCGCCCCCGCCCCGCGCCGCCCCCGCCCCGCCCCACAGCACGGCCCGCCCCCCGCCGCGCCACGCCCCCGCCCCACCCTATCCCCCGCCCCGCCCCACCCCACACCCCGCCCGGCCCCACGCCCCGGCCCACAGCACGGCCCGCCCCCGCCCCGGCCCACACCCCGCCCCGTCCCGCCCCACAGCACGGCCAGCCCCCGCCCCACCCCGCCCCGCCCCCCACCCCGCCCCGCCCCACAGCACGGCCCGCCCCCCGCGCCACGCCACGCCCTACACCCCGCCCCGCGCCACACCCCGCCCCGCCCCATCCCACGCCCCGCCCCACACCCCACACCCGGTCCCACACCCCGGCCCACCCCACGCCCCGTCCCACACCCCGCCCCGCCCCGCCCCGTCCCACACCCCGCCCCACCCCACGCCCAGTCCCACACCCCGCCCCGCCCCGCCCCACACCCCGCCCCACGCCCCGCCTCGCCCCACGCCCCGCCCCGCTCCAGCCCCTCCCTGCACCCTTCCCGCCCCAGGCCGGGCGCTCGGGCCACAGCCCCCTCCCGCCGGCGCGCTCACCGCCTTGAGGTCCAGCACCCCGTCCTGCGCCTCCTGCAGCAGCGACACGAACTTGGCCGTGAGCAACCCCAGGCTCTTCTCGTGCCGACTGCTCCCGCCCGCCGGGCCCCCGAGCTGCGACGGCGGCGCGGGGGAGGCGGGGGGCGTCCACTGGCCCTGGGCCTGGCCCTGCGGCGCCGCCTGCCCCGAACTCGCGGGCTCGGCCGCCGCCATCCCCGAGTGCGCCGCGCCGACGCCGAGTTTAAATGGCCGGAAGTGACGCCAGTCGCCGTTGCCAGGCGACGCGCTGGCGGTGGGCGTGGCGGAGGAGGAAGAGGTGCCGGAGGGGAGGGGCGGGCCGAGAGCAGAGGCGGAGCGGGCTTCCGGCCCGCGGCCTGCAGCTCCCGGCGCCCGGCGGGGCCGTCTCTGGCCACGCGGGTTATGGCCATACTATTGGAGCCCATTGACCGCCATCTTCATTTTGTGCCAGTTACTGGGTTTCAATCAGAAATGTGCATTTCCCAACTTTGTTTTCCTTTTTCAATATGGTTTTGGCTACTCCAGGTCCCTTGAATTTACGAATTTTGGGGTTATCTCAGAAACTTTTGCAAATAGGCTAACTGGGATTTTGATAGGGGTTGCACTAGATTGCTAAATAAATTTGGGGAGAATGATCATCTCAACAATATTGTCTCCCGACCTATGAATATCTTATTTCAATAATGATTTGTTCTTGTCAGACTGTAAGATTAACACTTTTGTTAAATTTAACCTAACCAAGTTTGTTCTTTTGGATGTCGTTGCCAATGGAATTTTTTTCCTTTTGAATCACTTTGAGACACTGTTGACATGTAAAACATTTATTCAGCCTAATGAGTGGGGATAAGCATAGACCATAAAATTACTGTCAAGACCATAAACATAGTAATCAACTCCCAAGTTATCTTCCCACTCCATTATTATAGTATGCCCAAGCTTCGTTCCTGATTGTAGTAATGAGTCTCGCTGGCTCCTCAGACTCCTGGCTAAGGCTGCCAGCCTGCCTCCCAGGGGCTGGTGGAGCTGGGCTGTTCTCGGCCACAGCCATCCACTACGGAATTCCCGTCAGGCAGAGGAGAAGGTACTGGGAGATGGCCATGGCTCAGGGCCTCGGGCTTTTGCTGTTGACAGGTTTGGTACACGTTTTTCAATGTCTTCACTTGCTGTATGCTCTTAGGACAGTTTTCAGAGACTTTAAATGTATTATTTTGCTGGGAAACAGGTCTGCAGAGTTCCTCATGCTCAATTTAAGCAGTAGAACCTGGTCTGTTGACATTTTAACTATGATTACAATATGGATTTTAATGTGTCACTCTTTAGGTATTGACTAACTTGGTAAAATAAACTACAATATAGTTGTATTTCTTCCTCCAACTTCACACTATTTTTGTCACACATCGTATCCATATATGCTATAAATCAAACAAGTGTTAAAACTGCCTTACATTCTTCCATTTTAAAAAACATACCTCACCCCATAAAAATTTACCTACACTTGTTTCCAATATTCTTTATTTCTTTCAGTGGATTTGAGTTACTGTCCGATATCATTTCCTTTCAGCCTTTCTTTTCAATTAGTTTAGCTAGCAATGCATTTTCTGTATTTTGAGGAATAGTTTTGCTAGATATAGCATTCTTGATTGACAATTCCTATTTCCCAGACCTCATTGCCTTCTGGCCTCCTCTGTTTCTCATGAGAAATCAACTGTTAATCATACTGCTTCTCTGAGATAAACCACATTTTCTTGTTTTCAAGATTTCCCCAATAGTTTGACTATAAAGTGTCTATGTGTTTCTCTTCATGTTTATCCTAGGTTTTATGGAAGTTCTTGGATCTGTAAGTTGATCTTTTTCATCAAACTTAGGGAGTTTTTAGTGATTATTCTCCCAAATATTTCTATGTTCTCCTCTCTCCAACTCCCATTACACCTTGGTATGTTCAATGCTGTCCCACAGATGTCAGTGTGATGCTTGCCTAAAATGAAACATGGACCTCTCTTTTAGAAGCATTTATATTTTCTTCTTATTCCATTAACTTTTAAAAAGTCACTAGCTATTACTTAAAAACACAGTATTATATCCTCTTTCAAAAACAGTGAGGATAGAACTTGGGTTTTTGTTTTATGTACATAGGAACCAAAGATGACAAAAGCTATACAGTAATAAATGACTGGTTGAAATGAAAACTGTTTCCAGTGCAAAATAAGAATTCTCTTTGTACATACAGTGACTAAAGGGGAGATGAAAAACTGAGGGTGGAGTAGTAGTGTTCCTCTGGAACAGACATTGTTTATAAACTTTAAATGTAATTTTTAATGAGTCATATGCATTATAAAAAAGGGGTCGTTATGGATGAGGAAATGGGACATGCTTTCTTTCCAGTGCCACATCTCTAACTATACAGATCTCAGGTTCTTTTTGGCTCTTTGTATGAGCATTTTGAAAGAATGAAGCTACATAAAGGACAACCAAGAAATATAATTCTTCATCAATACAATAAGGCAATGACAACTATTAAAATAATGTCCCTAATATAGTCAAAGGCTATTCTTAAATTCCATTTACATATTTATAGGCAAAGTGTAACCACCAAAGAATGGATAGCACAGAAACAAAAAATGTCTTAAGTCTAGTTATTTTGATAGGTTTTTCTAATACACACAATTATCAACACTTTATTATAAAAACCTACATTTACAATTAAATACTTTTTCAAAAGTCTTTTAAAATATAATCAGGATGAAATATGTAGAAAGAGACATTTCAAAGTCATAGCAGTTACTACTGTTACAATATTTAATTATTTTTACAATTGGTCTGCTGATCCATTTCAATTGAATTCGTTTTCAGAACCATCACAAGACTTGATGAATTTCATTTAGAGCAAAAGCAAGATGCTTAATTTTTGCTTCCAGTGCTTTTTTGTTCTTGCAGTTTTCTTGCAGAAGTTCACGCATTTCTTCTTCAACTTGATGAACCTAAATCAAATATAAAATTTTACTTTTAAATTTCTTAAACAGAATTATTTTAAAAATGCATTCTGAAAGAAAAAAGTAAAAAGTTTATTCTTGTGCATTTTGCGATATTTATAAAAAGCAGAGAGTAAAGGAAACTTGTTCAAATACTATTTGGGAAAACAATGTTTATGCTGTGGACAAAGTACTGACATGTTTAGTATCTATTTCTCACAGGTTCTGGTGGTGGGCACATGGTGATTTATTCACTCTGTTTTAGAGCTTAGACGATTTGTTGAAGGTCATGCAGCTTCAGTAGCACGTGTGGACAGAAAGAGTCTCCTGGCTCCATCTCTGCACTGTCCTGTGTTGCCATGAGTGCCGAGTCATGCATTCTTCTGGCTTCAGGTCTGCGCTGTCCTTTACTGCCATGAGTGCTGAGTCATGCATTCACCTTAAGCACTAGACCCTTACAGACTTTCAAACTTAACATAACTTCCCTTCCCAATGACAGATAATCTACTATAGTTCCAACAGCATTTCTACAGTTGCTATTGGTGGTTATAAATTTCCATCTTTGCCCAGCTGGGGTGGCTTAGCGGTTAAGCATCGACCCAGGAAAAAAAAGGTCACAGATTTAATTCCCAGTTAGAGCACATGCCTGGGGTAACGATACCCAGTAGGGGACATGCAGGAGGTATCGATCGATGATGCTTCTATCCTCCTTTCCCTCTCTCTCAAAATCAATAAAAACGTATTTTAAAAGAAGTGTTTAAAAAAAACTGCCATGTTTCTGAGGGGTCAGAAGAGTTCTGTGAATTCCCCACATCCCCACATGGTTCAGGGCTCTGGCTCTGGAAGAGGGGCCGCACGCAAATGAAAGAAACAAGAAACAATAATTTGGAAATGTGGGGGGACCAGGTGGGAGCCCAGCTCAAGAGGAAGGACTCCACTTGGGCACGGGCTTTGTCATCTTTTATTCAGTTTGGGAGACACCTATAGCCCTTAGGCAGGCAATTTCCAGTAACAGGCAGACTCTTACCAGTAAGGATTTACATGACTGCCTGTTGGGAAAGTAGCTTCAGCTACCATTGTCTCCACTGAACAGTGAGTGTACGCCCTGACCTGCGCCAGAGCTCTGGGGTCACCAGCCTTTCGGGTTCCTTGTCCACACCACTCTGCTGGTGAAGACAATGGGTTGCTCCCCGCAGTTTTCTGTAATTAATACCATTAATTTTTGCTTGAAACTCTCTTCTTTAATACAGCTCTCACAAAAGGATTATCACTATGCCCAGCCCTCTTCCTAATCTCTAGATTAATATAAATCTTCCTAATACAGATTTTCTACTTTTTCTCCCCCAGAAAGTTAATATTTCTCCTAATTTAAATTATCATTTCTCTGTGGTACCTCACTTTTTATTTTTTTATTTTTTTATTGTCACATGTAAATTCTGGTACCATTTATTTAACTCCTCAACAAATCTATCCCTTTAATTTTATGTCTTATTGGTGGGAGGTCTAAAACAGAACTCGGCATTTTCCTTTCAGCCAAGTAAGCGCCTATCCTGATACTTGACTTGGTACCTGATGTACCTTTGCCAAACACTCAGCAGATCTTAAATAAAACATCTGAAACGTCTGTTGATTTGACTTGAAATATAGAACTAAGTTCTGAATAAGTCATACTTCCTTATCATTGTGATGCTTTCTAAAGCTCTCATCCGCTCTTCACAGACTCCCGAGAGTCATGTCCACTAATAACCAGAACGACACAGAGATTCCTGTCACTTTCTCTGGTGGGGCTCTTTCTGGCTGCTTATTTCTGAGTCTCCCATGTACAGAAGAGAGTCCCCCCATCTGTGGGGATATGTCCCAAGACCCTGAAACCACAGACAGAACCAAACTTTCTATTATGTTACGGTTTTCCTGCATATACATACCTATGATAAAGCTCAATTTATAGAATAGGCACAGCAAGAGATTAACAACAAAATAGAACATTTAGAGCAGTAGACTTTAATAAAGTCATGTGATGTGTCCCTCAGAACATCTCTCTGCGTGGCCCTGACCCTTTGCTCCGCAGACAAGGTGAGCTGACAGAACGCCGCACCTGTCCCTGCGTCGGCGGCCACCCTCACTGCAGTGAATGGCCTGGCTTCAGTCCCTGCTGAAGTCCTCACACAGGCTCAGGGTTTTGTGAGCAGCATGTGCGTCCATGGGAACACGCTTTCTGTCCGTGTCTTCCACCCACAAATTTAAAGCCTTTCCATCTTATCTAAGCACTTACCACGCTCTGATGCTGTCACTTTTGAAGTTTGAGGTACAACAGCAAAACTAGCAGGAATTTCTTTTTCCTTCTTCCCAATTTCACGATAGAAGATTCATTCTTACTGTAGATTTTAGCAACCTCAGCATACGATTTTTTCCTTCCTTATTAAGTCCAGAATGTTCACCTTTCCACTTAAAAGGAAGCGCTTTATGGCTTCTCTTTGGCATGTCCAAGTTGCCAGCATCACTACCTCTTGCGCTTTGGGGCCATCATCAAGTAAAATAAATGTTACTTGCACACAAGCACTGCGATACCAGGACAGTCCATCTGATCACCAAGGTGGCTACCGAATGACTAGCGGGCGGGAGCAATACCGCAAGGAGGCAGTGGACAACGGGACCACTCAGTCTGAGATGATTCGCGTCCGGGCAGGTCAGGGAGGGCGGATTTCCTCACGTGACTCAGAATGGTGTGCAATTTAAAACTTATGAATCATTTTTGGAATTTTTATTTAATATTTCGGACAATTGAAGGCATGTAACCAAAACCTCAGGAAACAAAACGGTGTGTGTGGGTGTGTTTGGGGAGTGGGGGGGATGGCTAATGTACCTGTTTCCTATTACCACTTCAAAATCAGGGGAAAATAGAATTTTGCAACTGCCCCCTCAGCAGATCTCAGCAGAGGGGGGTCACATCAGAATCACCTGTTGAATTTGAAAAACACCAGGGTCTGACCCCAAACTGTGAATGAGGACTTCAGGGGAAAGCTAAGCATGTGTACTATTAAAAGCTCCTTTGCCAACCATAGTAATATGACAAACGTGATAGTGCTGAGCCCTAATTATTGATAAAAGACTACTTTTCGAGGACTTTCCCAAGGTAATGATGACTTGTGTTTAATTTACTCACTCCTCACCCTGCTCGCATGCAAGAAGGGGCTTCGCTATGAGACTGGTTAGGGAGATGGTGACTTTCACTCAGAGATCACAGAGCTGGTCCATCCCAGATCACTCATAACCTCGGTTTCACTCGATTATATTCTACAACCTGCCAACATTATGGCCTGCCTTCATGATAGTTTTGGCAACATTCTTTTAATCTATTTGGTTATTAAATCATGCTGCCTTTTCTCTTTATCAGTCTCAATTTATTTAGCTGTAACAATTCAATAATGATAATCAAGTGCAATTTACTGATAATACCTTTAAATTTGCAGAATCAATATATTTTTGCTTTTCATTTTCCAGTTGTGTTATTTCAGCGTGGTGAGCTTCCACAATTGCCTCCACTTGCTTTTTAAAGGCATCATCCATACAATGGAGCTTTTCCACAGCAACCCTGAAACAAGACAAGGCCCGCACCTCGCTGTGCATGAAAGTCGGCGATTTTCTTCAGCGAAGGCAGCTCTCACATTCACATTCCATTGGACACATAGTAGCAAAGGGCCCTCCATCTCCGGAATCCAGCTACCAGCAGCTCGCCCGCCAGCAGAACCAGCCAGCTGCACAGGGCAGGGACCCTCATGCCCATTTGTGAATCTCACCTCTGAGCGCCTGCTCTGGTCTCCAGCCCTGCGTCTGTGGGAGGGGACTGGAAGCGCCTTCCCAGTATGACAATGATCTGAAGCACATACTACAGGCAGGTTTACGTTTATACATTGAGGGTGTGGAGTTCCTCAGTCCGGCCTGCGCCCTCTCTTGCAGTCTGGGACTCCTTGCTCCTTGCTGCCTGCCTGCAGCAGAGGCTGCTGAGCTTATCAGCCATGAGCCTGGCTTCTGGCTGAGCAGCACTCCCCCTGTGGGAGCACACTGACCACCAGGGGGCAGCTCTTGCGCTGAGCATCTGCCCCCTGGTGGTCAGTGTATGTCATATTGACTGGTCATTCAACCATAAGGTCGATTTGCATATTAGGGTTTTATTATATAGGAGGATGGTCTGACTTCCCTGTGCTAATGCTTAACAGATAATACCCTAGGTCTGTGGTCGGCAAACGCTAGCTCATGACCCAAATGAGGCTCTTGGGCCCTTGAGTGTGGCTCTTCCACAAAATACCACGGCCTGGGCAAGACTATTTGAAGAAGTGGCATTAGAAGAAGTTTAAGTTTAAAAAATTTGGCTCTCGAAAGAAATTTCCATCGTTGTACTGTTGATATTTGGCTCTGTTGACTAATGAGTTTGCCGACCACTGCCCCAGGTTAATAAACACATTAGTATTCACAAAAGTTTAGTACTAAAAGTTACTTAGAGGCCAAACACCACTTCCTTTATATTAAACTAATGGCCCAGTGCATGAAATTCGTGCACAGGTAGGGTCCCTAGTGGCTGTCTGCTGCCACTGCCCCCTGGTGGTCAGCACATGTCTAACTCCCAGCCAGTTGAACTCCTGCCCCTGGGGACAATTTGCATATTAGCCCTTTTATTATATAGATATGAGTGACTTTGTTTAAAAAGTCCACAATGAACATTTTTCTGCTATTGGTTCTGAGCCCTGAGCTAAGGCCCCTGGACAGCTGTGAAAGCGCAGTGCAACAGGGCTATCAGCGATGCTGCTGTCAGTCAAATCTTTCTCCAGAGATAACTCCACCTTCAATCTTAGGAGAAAAAACACCATTATGGGAGTCTGTGCATAATGTCTACCCATCTCTATCTGATGGCACTGAACTGCGCTACATAGCTTCAAGGCTGTCAGCTTTATAAACTGCTGTAACAGGCCTAGTGACAGTTCACAGTAAAACCTGCATTTCCTGTAGAGCACTTACCAAATCCACACAAGCACTTGCCAAATCCACACACTTACCAAATCCCCCCCAGGAACAGCTTCCTCCCACTTTGAAATGAGCTCTGGCTTCTCTGGCCCAGAGCCCCAGACAACTTACTCCTCTGAGGACCATCTGCAACAGCCAAGCACACTGGCTGCTTTCGGAAGACAGCAGGAAACAGTAAGCACAGCAATAAGCCCAATATGTGGACAGAAACTACCACATGTCAGGTGCTCACTTCCGCACACACACAGACAACACATACAGACTTAAAGCTCACAACTATGCAGGAGGGAACTCAGGCCTTCCCTCTATAGAGGGAATAATGGAATGGAAGTCAAATATTTTGCAAATAACTTCATCCAATATATTTTTAGCTTCCCTTCATCCTTCCTCCCATCTGGCCCCTCCCCATTCCCGGAGGGCCCGGTGCCTGAGGGCTTCATGCTTACTTTTGTCGCTCAACACTTTGGTCTCTTTCTGCTTTCAGCTTCCTTTCCTTGTTCTCAAATTTCTCCTTCACTTCCTTTACTTGTTTTTCCAGATTATAGAGGAGCTCCCCTTTGTCATGCCACTTCTGATTAAGGGTACTGACAGGAGAAGAGGGAATGTGAGGGACAGAATTGGTCAGACAAGTTATTAAGCCACTGTTTACTTCTCAGCAGGAAACACCAAAAAATACCTGTAAGCTTTTCTAATTTCTTCAAGTTCTAATTCCTTTACTTGCAACTGCTGTTTTAGTTTTGCTTTTCTTTCATTGTGTCTTTCTAGTTTCTCAATTATGTCATCCATTTGCGAACATTTTTCGTCAAGTTGTTCTTGAGTACATTTCTGTATTTCACAGATGTTTTCTTGTAATATTTTGATCTGTTCCTCTCTCTCCTGTAAACACTTCAAGAAAATAATAAGTACTTTATTAATCCTAGACTAGATGTGTCATTTCCTAATTAAATAGGTATGGTTCTAACTTATTTTAAAAACTACAAAAATGAATTCAAAGTTCAATGAATGTTTTAGAAAATATATACAGACATTGTTTAGGGGCTATTAAGAGGGGAGATTTCTGTCCCACTCAGACTTTTTATTTCAGAAAGTTAGTGGGATTACTAACCACACAGAGAGTAGAAGGGAAGGAGAAAGCAGCATAATGGGAATTCAATTACATCATTTTGCATTTAAATAAATGTTTTCAGGGCATAAAGAAAAAAAATAAGTGCCTGACAGGGATACAGCAAAGACTGATGCTCATTGGGTTAAACCATTTCTGCTGCGCATACACTTTAAATAATGTCTGATGTCATTACTGAAACATCACGTGCAAACAGGCCTCACATCCCCAGACCGAGGTGGACTTTCCTGTGTCTTGTGCTGAGTCAGCACCAGGAGGCCAGCCCGTCAGGCAGGTGCAGGGTGCCATGTCTGTAGGTCCCGCAGGCCTCTGCGCTCCAGCACTGGGCTGCAGATGCGAGTGTAGAAGGTCTTATTTTTGCCCCGATTCTCCCTGCCCACTTGCCTCTCATTCCTCTTGGGACGAAGATGGAGGCAAACAAATGCTGGACAAGCCTAACTGATTCTCAGGGGGATTCTCAGGGTCACACAGAACAAGGTGCAGCCCCTCAGGGGTGACAGAACTAGGGACTCTAAGCAAAGACCACAGGTAGTCTTGGCTTACGTCCACATAAGCATGAACTGTTTATTTTCTCCACGCCTCCCTGAAGTACTCAGGCGTGGGCAGTCTTGACACACATTATCAAGAACCTACAGAAGATTTATTGATGGTAGCCATTCTGGCAAGTGTAAGGTAAAAAAAAAAAAAAAAAGAACCCACAGAAGCCATGAAAGATTCTTATGAAATAACCCTCTTAATAGTCAGAATAGCACTGCAGCACCAGGGTCTCATGATCCAGGTATACTGAAAAGTACCAAAATAACACAAGGAATCAGCATTTTAAAGGATTTCAAATTTCCATAGTCAGAAGCTAACTAGAGAATCTACTCAGGTGAAAACATCAAACTCTCAAATTTGCATTTTAAGTCATCAGTGAGGTTGACTTTACTGCTGAAGCAGCTCTGCCCAGCTCCCCTGTATGTCCTCGGGTTGAGGAGGCACCAGCCTGATGGTGTGGTTAAGTCAAACACAATGACCGACTTTACCAAATATCCACTGGAAGCTTGGGTCTTCTCTAGCTTTCTTGGCGTCTCCAGAGCTGTCCAGGAATTTGGTCTCGCCCAGTTCAAAAGCAATGTGACCAAGTCAATGAAGGGTTTTGAATACATCTTGGCCAAGCTGCAAGGTGAGACCCCTTCCAAAACCCTTGTTGAGTCAGCCAAGGAAGCCAAGGAGAAGGCAAAGGAGATGGCACTGGCAGCCACAGAGAAGACCAAGGACCTTCCAGCAAGGCAGCCACCAAGAAGCAGCAGCAGCAGTTGGTGTAGCCAGCTCAGACCCTGTGCAGCAGCGCACCACCCCACCTGCTGCACTCCCTCTGCCCTCCCCCTGTATTTTATTGTTAAAAGTCAACTTCCAGCCAGATCTACTCTCTGGGTAATGGGTTGGAGGTGGTACCTGTTTGGCATCTACAATGCATCCGACATGCTATCCATGTCTGAGCCAGGCCTGCTTCTTCCTGCATTGGACAGCTGAGGGGAGTTTTGCCCAGCGTCATAGACAGCATGCAGGCAAAGTGGTCATAAACACTAGGCAAGGTGGTCATAAACATAAGCTCCACAAGGGCAGGGACTTTTTTGTTCTCTGCTGTGTCCCAAGCATCTGGAACAATATCTAGCTCATAAAAGACACTCAATAAATATTTGTTGAATTAAAAAAAAAAAAAAAAAGCTAAGGAAAAAATGAAATATTAAGTGGTTATAAATTCTCTAAAGATTGAGTTCCTAATTTTATGGGTGATAATCCCGTTTAGAAATTTCTTTAAAAACACCTTTTCATCCAGCTTGTGTGGCTCAGTGGTTGACTGTTAACTCATGAACTAGGAGGTCCTGGTTCAATTCCTGGGCAGGACACGATCCCCAGTAGGGGGTGTGCAGAGGCAGCCAATCAATGATTCCCTCTCAACATTGATGCTTCTATCTCTCTCTCTCTTCCTCTCTGAATTCAATAAAAATACATTTAAAAAATAAAAACTCCCTTTTCAGTTAGTTATTTTTACACTATTTTTAAGAAGAAAATTGTGGAATTTAAGTTTGCTTTAGTGCTCAAGACAATCTTCAAAAAATTTCTCTGGAAAATGTCCACACAGTGAAGCTTCTCTCAGGTGTGCCTGAGGAAGAGGGTGGGCACAACGGGCACACGGTGGCCTTGGGACCAGCACGCATCCTGTGATCTAGTCACACACCTTCACCTCCAGGAGAGCAGGTGTGTCCTAAGTGTGAGAAGTAAGAGCAATATTAAGAGATATTTTAAACATATAAAATGTTCATTTTCTTGTGGTTCCTTCATCAACACTGTTTTTAGTTATTTCAAAGGGCAATAAGAACATTCTTCTTAAAAATTTGAAGTAAATGTAATTTCAAGTCAATATATGAATGCCAAATATCACTTTTAAAAGCAAAGGAGGAAATACTGCAAAAGGAAAAACATGATGACCTGTCTTAAATTCCCCAATGGTTGGGACTCACACAGCCAAAATGTTTATTGGATACTCCACTCTGATCCACAGATTCTCAAACCTGCATATACTGTCTTCCCAAAACAGAACGCCAAACTTACAGCTTTTAATTTCCCGATGGTCTCGGTTTGGTCCTCTATGATTTTGCACTTAATCTTCAGCGTGTCACTGTCTTGCTCATTTGTCTTCCGCAGAGACTCATTCTCTTTGCATAAACTTTCGATCTGCGCCTCCAGTTTCCCGCGATCCTGGGCCAGACAAGATCCTGGGAAGCAAACACCACCGGAGGCAAACTTTAGGAGACTGGAGGATTTGTCTTTTATGAACACCGAATTTCACAATGTATAACATGAGTACAAGGAGAGCTGGCTAAAGAAATTAGAGCTGTAACAGCACACAGCATGAAGAGGAAAGGGCCAGAAACAAAAGGCATCTCAGCTCGTGCTGTCTGAAACCTACACCGCAATCGGAGAACAAGCGACCGACTGGCGGTCCCATCTAACGGGTCCGGATATGGCACACTACCGCCAGATCATGTGCCGCGCGACATGGTACCCCATGAATGACAGGTGAGCATGCTCCAGTAGAGCCAACGCCCACAGAGCGAATGTGTACATACAGCCACCTCCGCTGGGCAGATTTCAATTGGAATGGACTGAGGTCGGTTAACCTAAGCAGACGGTGGTTTTCATCTATGCACCGCTAGCATTTCTCTGTGTGTAACAAGATAACTGTTAGCAACATTTAGAAGAAAACTGAATGCTACATCTGTAGGAAATCATGTAAAATTACTGTATGAGAAAGAAATGTTTTCAACAACTTAATTCAGCGGCAGCACGAGAAAGGCAGGCCTGGTGAGGAAAGTAACCCAGTTACACCAGCAGGAGGAAAGCCAACCTGGACTCAGAGGGCAACTGGTACAGTAAGCCACTTCCTGTTTCCAGGAGGTAGGGGAGGGGCCTGACCCAGGAGGTGGGGGAGGGGCCTGACCCTGGGTCGTGGGGCAGGGAAGCCCCTCCTGAATGCATGCAGATTTGCTTCTTGAGAAAAATGGGTTCGTTTCCCTCTGAAATGTGAGAATTTTACCCTGTTGTGCCAGCTCGTGGCCCCACACTTTTCTCTCTGTCCTGAGACCGTAAATCAGTGACTCCTTGGCCGCGAGCTCGGCAATCAGCTGGACTTTCTCGTGCTGGAGCAGCTCGAGCTGGATGCTCTTCTGCTTGTCATCTTCGATCAGGAGTTCAAGGGTGCTGATCTGATTCTGTATACTCCCCAGACACGGGAAAACGCAATGCAATATTATACGTCAATGCTCCCAGTCGTACTTTTTTGCATTTTATAGTAAGAAACATGTTAGTTAAGCAAACACCAAGTAAATGTTCCTCAATTTTACATCAGAAGAAGTTTTAGTCTTAACTAAAGATAAATGTAGGTCAGAAGTAAAATATAAGAGGCCACTCCTTCAAACACTCCCCTAAGAGCAACAACACCTGTAAAACCCAGTTTCCCAGCATTTATGTCAGAAGCCTAGAGCAGTGGTTGCCAACCTTTCGGACCTCATGGATCACCAGTTGGCGACCGCTGCACTTACAGAAATGAAGTTCTTTTGCAAACACCCCTAACGTTTAAAATGGCAACAGCAGAAACTAATTTAGATTATGTGTGGGTTTATCTAAAAAACCACTGCTACAAAGTTAGTACAGCAACCCACACGCTGCTTCCCAAACCAAACAATTTGAGCATCACTGTCACAACTCCTTCTCTCCCTGTGCAACTGTGTTCTAGCCACTTAGTAGTTTCCTATTAACGCCCTCATTATACTTCAACACTCTCTTAGGTATGCAGTTCACTCTGGGAGATCAGTTAATCTCTGTTCTATTACTTTTCATACATGTCAAGCACATATTAGTATCATTAAAAGTTCAACATTGTGCACTTCCTAAAATCACTGCAGGCACTTGGGAAAACGACATAAAAACAGAAAGGAGAATACAGGGTTACAGACCTACCTGCAAGTTTGTTGCTGTTTCGTGTTTCATTTTGGAGACTTCGGCAAGCTTTGACTTTTGCTCCTTCACCATGCAAGCCAGATCTTTAATTAAAGAGGAAGACTCATTTTCTTTCCGTTGAGCCCAAACAAGAGCATGCTTGCTCTTCGCTAACTCAGTTGCAACACTTTCAAAACCATCTTTAACCTATATTTCAAAATTGCATTATAAATAGCAGTTCTCCAAATATTTAGAAAATGTTTATTTCTGGCAACAACTTATTTCTTTCACATTAATATATATATATATATATATATATATATATATATATATATATATAGTTTTTATTGATTTCAAAAAGGGAGAGGGAAAAAGAGATAGAAACATCAATGATGAGAATCATTGATTAGCTATTTCCTGTACAACCCCTACTGGGGATCGAGCCTGGAACCTGGGCATGAGCCCTTGACAGGAATCGAACCCTGAATCCTTCAGTTTGCAGGTAGACACTCTATCTACTGAGCCAAACTGGCTAGGGCACTTCTTTCATTTTAGAATCTCAGAGATTTAGCAAAATGATGTAATCACAGCACTTAGTGTTGCTGTGTGCCACACAGAGCATGGCTGCACTCAACACGTGGCAGAGGTGGAGGCCGGGTCCGGCTGCAATCTCGGCCCTACAGCCACAGGGAGAACCCAGGTGTCCCCACGCTCTGCACCGGACCACCCTCTCTGACGGGCTTTGGCGACAGCATGGAGAGCTTGGCGAGTGGTTGTCTCAGGGCAGACGCTTCACCTTAAGGATCTGCTTAAGGCCATAGAGCCCACGTGTCCACAGAGCTGACTCTAAAGTGGAGTTCTCTTATCACCCCATAATTGGCTGGTTCTGTTTTCAATAGGAACTTTCCTAAATGCCAATTCTTACATCTTTAAATCTTCTGGCTTCGAGAGTTAAAGCAATACGAAATTCATTCTCTAAATCCAGGTACTGCTGATTTAATGCGTCGATTTTTTCTTGGTATCCTTTGATCTCTTGTTCATGCTTTACTTCTTCTTTTGCCACTTCCTTGGCTATGGCTTCTTGGAACTCAGCTTCACTAAAAAACGCCCTTGTTTCAAGTTCTTTCCTGGAATGAAAAACAAACAAAAATCACAGGATGCTGTTCCCTAGGAAATAAAAACTTTAAAGTTTATTAAATATTATACTAGAGGCCCAAAGCACGAAATTCAGCCCTTGCAGTCCCAGCTGGCCCTTGCAGCCAGTTTTGTCTGGAAGGTTGTTCTGTTTTGTCTAATTAGCATATTAGCTCTTTATTATATAGGACTAGAGGTCCAGTGCACGAATTCATGCATGGGTGGGGTCCAGCCGGCCTGGCTCCAATCGGGTTGGATTGGGACTGGGCCCGATGGGAGCTAATGATGAGAGGTTGGCTGGCCAGCCGGCCCCTATCAGGGCCGGGCCAGTTAGGAGGAAGGGCTGCAGGCAATTGGTCAGTAAGCCCTGCCCGACTGGCATTCAGGACCGATTGGAGGTCAGCGGCCAGAGGAGAGGCCATGGGAGGTTGGCCAGCTGGCTCTGCCCTTGACTGGAGTGTGGGGGCTGATTGTGGGCGGAGCTGGCTGGGGAGAGGAGCTGTGGGTTGATTAGGGTGGTGGGGGCCCATTGTGAGGCCAGTCAGGAGGGGCTGGAGGTTGGCCAGCAGTCCCACCCCCTTCTGGGGTGGGGGGGTTAATCAGGGGTGAGGCTGGTTAGGGGAGGGGCCAAGGGAGATTGGCCAGCTGGCCCCACCCCCAATCGGGCTGGTTTGCTGGCTGCAGTGGGTGTCTAAGCACCTGGTTGTTCAGGTCATTATGGCTTTCCCGTCTCTGGTTTTTTATATATATAGATTATTTATTCCTGTCATCTAAGATGAGCTTCCTACCTTCAAACACAGAAACTGTGACAAGACAGACAAGGAATGAGTTTTCATGACTGTGCTCTGTGAATGGGATCAGAGGCATGTCCCTGGTCTAAGTTCCCAGGGCTGGACAGTGCCAGGGCTCCTAGTGCACCTGCAGCTCTCCCTCCCTGTGCTTGAGCTATGGCTGAGTCTCTGACATACAACAAACACAGCCTGACTGGTAATAGTGGTTGATTAAGGGAAAAACAAACAAACAGTTAAACTGTGAAATTATTCACCAATCTTTTGATATAAGGCCATTTTTTTCCTTTGAGTTCACCACTATTTTTCTTGAAGAAACCAAGCCCATAATATAAAATCCATTATTTCCAGTCTGAGTTTCTTTAAACTAGAACAAGATGTTAAAAAAAGATATGTAAAGGAATGTAAATACAGATTTTCAGATTTTTTGTTTTCCTCCAATCTTTTATAGCTGTCTGCTCACACAGAGGATGCCAATCCCCAAACCACCCCCCAAGCATCAGCATGTCATTTTTACATGACATCGTGGAATTGGCTGGGGCAGCTGGAGATGGGCAGCCGGAAGTGTTCCCATCGCTGGGACTCAGAGAAGGGTGGTGCATGAGGCCCAGGATCCACTGGCCTGCCACCCTCTTTTATAAACCAACTTTTACTGGAACACGTACACGCCCACTGGTTTAAGCCCTGATTGCAGGAAAGGCATTTAGATGTGGCCCGCAAAGCCTGGAACCCTTTCTTTCTTTCTTTTTTTATTGATATGTTTCTATTGATTTTTTAAAGAGAGAGGAAGAGAGCAGGATAGAGAGATGAAAACACAGATAAGAAACATCGACTGCCTCCTGCATGCCTACCCCTACCAGGGATGGAGCCGACAATCTGGGCATGCGCCCTGACCAGGAATTGTTCCTGGGTCAACACTTAACCATTGAGCACTCCAGCTGGGAGGGAATCTTTTTTCTCTGGCCCTTGGAAGGAAGTTTGTTAGCACCTGTTCCACAGGAGTAAGAACCAGAAAGTGAGCACGCTGTCACTTGGAGACTCAGTAAAATCTTTTTGCACATGCCAATGACCAACTTCATTTTGGATTAGTAGAAATGCAGACGCAGCTGCCAGGTAAGTACCCACACCTCAGTAAGTCTCCTGTGTCTGTGGGCTGCTATTGCTCTAGGAGGGGCCCCTACCACATACACAAGCTGCCCCTCCCATGGGCTTTTCAACTAGCCTCCCACTGCACAGTCCTGGCTCCTGTTTGTGGAACGGAAAGAGAGAAGGGAGGGGAACCAAGCAGCTTCTTTCCTTTGATTGACTGTCCCCACTGCCTGGTACGCTTTCATTCACCTGAGCTCTTTTTTTAAAATACATTTTTATTGATTTTAGAAAGGGAGTGATAGGAACATTAATGATGAAAAAGAATCATTGATCAGCTGCCTCCTATACACACTGAGATCGAGCCTGCAACCCGAGCACATGCCATGAGAACTGAACTGTGACCTCCTGGTTCATAGGTCGATGCTCAACCACTGAGCCACACCAGTGGGTTTACCTGTGCTCTTGCTCCTTCAGTGCAAGGAGATCATGAAGCTGCTGCACCTGCTCCTTTTCTTGCTGAAGGGAAGTTCGAAGCAAGGTAATTTCTCGGTCAGCAGCTGCCGCTTTGAGCTCCACCTCTTCGATAAGCCTCATCTGGGGAAAACACAATTATAGGACTTAAGACAACAGCCCTCTGCTTCCCTTGCCAGTTCCCCAGGGAAAAGTGCCTTCGAAATAGAACTTCATGCCCAAACTGACTTTCAAAATGTCGTAGGTGATGAATTTGTGGTCACATCAGGGACAGCCCTGGCAGCAATGACCCTCGCTTTGTTTGCTGCTCATCTCAACCAGATCAGAAAGTGTGAAGGTAAGAGACCTTCACAACAAAAAAGAGAAAGACACACAGAGACAGAGAAGAGACTGGCGCCCCAATAAATTCAATTTAAAAAACCCTTCAGATGCCCCAAAGAGCCTTACATCCTGGCTCTGGGAACACAAGCCTCACAACCTGCAACACGTCCACCAGGTCGTCCGACAGCTGTGAGCGTAGGAGCCTTCACTCAGCAGCTCCACAGCCAACTCGCACGGCAGAGATCTGCACACACCAGCACCTCTGAGGCCACTGGACAACAGCTGTTTCTGCAGCGCCAGGGGCCAGGCAGGACAGAGTACCTGTGCCGCCTGCTGCTGCCCTTTCTGCCGCTCCATCTTCTCCAGCGCTCGCTCCAGGGCTCTCAGGTGCCGGATGTGGTCCTCCTGCTGATCTCTCGCTTTAATTAATTCAATACTTAGTTTCTTAATTTCGTTTTGAAGTTTGTGAACCATAACTTCGAGTTGCACTTTGGAATTTCTCTCTTTAAAAATAATCTCCTTTAACCTAAAACAGAAATCAGATGCATATATTACTCATTTAAAAAGACAAAATCTGTAGTCAACATCAAAGGAGAGGGATATTTGCAGTATGTTTCAAACTCTCACTAGATTAAAAAAAAAGGCAGAAAATCAGAGTCCATGCTCCTCTCCCACCCCTAAGCTAACACTGGGTCAAAAGGCACGGCATTTTTCCTGGATGAGTGAAACGTCATCGTATGTGAACTTCATTCAGCAGCAAGCTTTGCTGAGCTGTTTCAGGCACTGTGCTGGTGTGGCCTCCCGCCAGCAGGATGGAGGCATGCAGCCTGGTCCTCACTTGGAAGGTGCACCGATCTACCTGAGCCCGCTGGCTGAGCCCAAACAAACAGGCCTGCATTCTCTGTTCTGAACAAGCTGCTGACGCACTGAAGCTTCTGCCACTGCACGGCTCTAATCTCACCTCAGCGAGCTGAAATGGAGGTGCTCCCGCTGCGAGTTCATGCTCCAGGATGGGATGGCCCTTACCTGTCTGTGGTGAGCAGAGCCAGGCTGTGGATGTCTTTCTTTTCGTTTGCATGTTTATGCAGTTCATCAATGTACTCCATGAGCTTCTTTTCAGCTTGTTCCGCTTTCCACCTCTTCTCTCTCTCCTGGTCTAGCTGCTCGACAAGTATCTGAAAGAAAATAATAGTGTTGTGTGAACTTGTAAAAGTTACCTTGCCTCAATTTCCTCATTTACAGCATGGAAACAGCAGCAGCTCATTCAGAGGGCTGGGGGGAGGGTTAACCAAACCAACAGGAGTGAAGGGTACAGACCGTGCCAGGCACGTAATGACCACTCAGGAAAGATTAGCTGCCATCACTATCACGACAATTACTATTATTTTTATCAACAGTAAAGCTTCTATATGTGAAAATAAGAGGAGGAAACCAATAGCATGATAGGTGTGAAACAGTTTAAAAAACAATTATATTATTGGAAGATCAAGTGACATCACAATCAAAACCAGAACTTTGCAAGTAAAATAAGGCCAAGTTAATAAAGCTATAAATAAATCAGTACACCAAAAATTCTTAACAATGTGAGAATGATTCTGGCAAATACTTAAACATTTTAAAAATTTTAAATGCCTCTTAATCCGGGACCCACAGGCCCCTAAGTGGCTTTTGGGCAAGTCCCCGAAAACCCTGAATTAGCACGCCCGGTGTGTCAGAGGCAGACTTCCCTGCAAAGGCCCGATCTGCTTAGACACGGGGTGCCTGAGAGCCAGAGGTTGGGAGGCACTGCCGGGAATGAGTGTGGACGTTTAGACAGGCCTTCTTCTCCACAGGAACTTAACACAGGGTCTCACTGGAATCTGATTAAGTGTGTGATTGCCCTGCATTCAAAAATTACACAAATAACAACATTACACAACATCTGGAAACCAGGAAGGAAAAATAAACTAATTTCCATCACTCCAATAAAAACATGTGTTATTTTTCTGGGACTCCCTGTATTTCAAACCAAGGTCATTTGCATGCATTTCTCCTAAGTCTTTTCCCTACCCGGTAGGTGTCCTCTGGGCAACTGATGTTCACTTTCATCAGCTCAGTCCTTGGCTCCTCCACCTCTTCCACTTGGCTGCAGTTTGCCAGAGAGGAACACACATACAAGTCTTTAAAGAAAGGCTGCTTCATTTTACGACTGTAACTACAAAGAATGGAACAGAAAATAACCCATAGAATGTGCAGTGTTTACTTTTCACAAGTGAAGGACACTCTATCCCAGAGAAAGGGTGGTTCTGTATAAATGTACATGGAGGCACAGAGCAAGGCTGAGTGGCAAGGCTGAGAGCCCTGTGGCTGCCGGAGAAAAGTAGAGAGCTTTAAGGTGGAAGGAAGCGCAGTAGTAACTGTGTGGGCCTCATCTGACTTTCCAAATCGGAAACAAGTACCTTATGGAAGAGTTACTATTTTTGTTGTAGTGCTTAATGGTCTGAATTGCTTTAGAATAATATGGGATTTTCGATCTTCGAGGAATTTTTCTATTGCATTCTTTTCTGTTTCCATAATCACTTTCAGAAGTGATATCCATGTCTCTTTTCAGCATCAGGTCTTTCTCGGGAACATTATTCATTAAAGAAGTAGAAGTCTAGAATAAAAAATAAACAAAGCTTGAATCAGTAAAAAAAGACTAAAATTTGAAATCTCCTAAACTACCATGGGCTCTTACAAGATCGAGAGTTTATAAAGACAGAAAGCTTGGAATTAAACAGGGGGAATCAGCTTCTGGTGTGGACAAGTAAGCTCCTATGGGTGGATACTCTCAAGTAACAATTATAAACTCTAGGAAAAACAAAACAAAACCACCAACAAAAACTACTTGTAGGCCCCGAGAAATGAACAAATACAGGCTTATTCTAGAGTCGCTGACCCTTGGGAAAATAACTAGACGTGGTGCTTCTGTCTCTGTGGTTTTAACCTGAGGACGTGGCCCAGCGAGTGCTGTGCAGAAGTCCAAAACTCAGGTGAAAATGCCAGGCTTTGGAGTCTATACAATCAGAGGACAGCACAGAGATGACAAGTGAAGGACAACAGTAAGCAGCCCAAGTGACACAGTTCAAGACAAAAACAGGGACCCTGGAGGCTACTAGTGGCATTGAGTCTCCACAGCGTTAACATCACAATATCCAAAGGAACCCAGCAGCAGCCAGCCTCACTGCTCCCAGGAGAACAGACGGGCAGTGCAGAGAGACCTGATTGTGCTCAGTGGCCTAAAAAGTATCCTCGTCATGAATAGAGAAAAAGGCTCAGCAGAGAAACAGAAATTATTTTTAAAAAGAGGAAAAGTACAATGTCTAAAGTAAAAATTCCCTGGCTGGGCTTCACAGAAGAATGAGGTGACAAAAGAAAGAACAAGTGACCTTGAAGATGGCACAGTGGAAATTATTCAGCATGAAGAATACCGAGGAGTAAACTTAATAAGATGTCAGTCTCAGGAAACTGTGGGACAGCAGCAATGGTCATGTGGACTCTGAATAGAGAGGAGAGAGAATAAAGAGAGAGGAGGACAGAAAAAGAGCTGAAGATATAATACCCATACATTGGATTTAAAATGCTCAGAGAAACAAACTGTCAGCAAGACAGACATGAAGAAACCCATCCTTCAGCACAGTGCAGCTGAAGTGCTGAAAACCAAGAGTAAATATATATATATATTTTTATTATTGATTTTTTTATAGAGAGGAGGAGAGAGGGATAGAGAGCTAGAAACATCGATGAGAGAGAAACATCGACCAGCTGCCTCTTGCACACCCCCTACCGGGGATGTGCCCGCAACCAATGTACATGCCCTTGACCGGAATCGAACCTGGGACCTTTCAGTCCGCAGACCGACGCTCTACCACTGAGCCAAACCGGTTTCGGCCCAAGAGTAAATATTAAGAACGTTGAAGGGAAACAGGCAAATCCAAGTCATAATTGGACATTTTAACAACTTGCATGCAACTGACAAAACCAAAAACAGAACAGAACATTTACTTATCATTTGGACCACAATCAGTAAATGCTGGAATAGTCTTAGAGTGGACCAAGACAGCCGTGAAAACAAAGCAGGGACAGTCATACACACACTGATTTCAAGGTCATCTGATGAGGCTCCACGGCTTCCCTACAGAGGACTCTCGGGTCTCCCAGATTCCTTGCTAGGGAACACAGTGAGCGTGACCCTACCTACTGGACTGAAACATCACGAGAAAGATATTCGAGGGCAAGAGAAGCTGCCAAGTGTGCTCATGTTTAAGTCCAGCTGAAATCTAAGTTGTGACTCTGGATAAAGAGTCGGCCATGAGAAGAGATGGGCATGAAACCCGAGGAGATGGAGCCCCAGAAGTATGTCAACATCAAAGTACACCAGTCCACGCTGCGGCCCAAGCCTATCGCCATCTCTTCTGCAGCCCCAGAGGAACGAAGTCTGCCGCAGCCGCCTTCACTCTCCCCTCACCAAAGGGGAGAGACCTTGTTTATCTGGCAATGCTAGTCCCATAGCTATGACAATAGTTTAGGATTATTAAAACCCCACCAAACCGAAAACATCCCGTAAGCGTTCTTTGCTTTCCACACCCAATCCAGTTTCAGAAAATAATTAAATATTAAAATTACAAATTTTGAAGTCAAACTGACATTTGACTTAACAGCCAGGGGATAAAGTAATACCGAGCTATGTCCTGGGAGGGGAGGTGGTCAAGGCGACACCTTTGCAGTTCCGGACAAGACCGCTGGGGTGAGACCAGGACCCTGACAGCAGCAAGTCCAGGACTGTAGCTCACCCTGAACACGGTGTAAGGGGCAAAACAGAATGAGTAATTCAGGGAAGAAGAGATTCATTTGGGGAAAGTCTACTGTACAGAGTCCAAGGAGGAAGTCTATGCATTAACTTGGACTCATCTGTGGGTTCCAGAAGTGGTTTGGACCATCAAACACCCGAAGAGGTGACAGAAGGGGTCAAAAGTGACTCCCGTTCCCTGTTCACTGACAGGCGCAGAGTCTGAAATATTATGTGAGTGGGTGGAAATAAGGGAAGCACAACAGAAACCAGGAAGGTCCAGAGGAGGACAAGGAAAATGAAGGGAAAAGAACATCACCATTCCTGCCAGAGGGCTGTAACAGTCCCACTTCTGGAAAAGACAAGACTTGACAGACAGACACACAGATGCAGTCCAGTGTTTCTGATGTTTGCTTGTACCAATTTTTACTTTACATTTTTTGAACTACTATTTCTTCAACAAACACAGGACTTAGAAAAATAGCAAAAATAGTTACTTCATTGAGAAGCTGTAAAAACTGATCATCTAATTTCTGAAGTTTCATCTCGTTCTGAAAATCGGTATCTTCATTAATCTTCTCTGGCTCAGGTGGGCACACAGACATGAATGATGGCAGCCCAGTGTCAGTCGGTGTACTTGCAAACGGGTCCCGGGGGGCCATGTCATCACCCGTGGGGGCTGTAACTACCGGTGGCATTCCATCAGCGACCTAAGACAGACACCAGCAGACCCTCAGCATGTGCGCTTATTAAGGACAAGCTGAAGGCATCTTAATATTAGGGAAAACCCAATACCATACCTCATCTTCACTGATATTTAGGGGAGAATCAGATGAAGCCAAATTATCCAAAAGACCTTCAAAGCACTGCAGACTTGAGGAGTTAATCTGTGAGAGATCGACCGGCTCACCAAATATGTTCTTGCAGTCCAGGATTCGAAGCTGTGGCAGGGTCTGCAGCATAACTGCTTGGTACCCTGGAGATATATCCAAAATGAAAACTCATGCATTAAAGAGGTAAATTACTTGGAGAATCAAATAAATTTGTCAACTACCAGATGTACCTACGGCTGCCTACAGTTACACTCTAAGAATACATCACAATGGTAATTTAATTCTGAGACACTCACTTATCTATAATAATAAAGCATAATTTGCTAATTAGACAGGAGAGTCAAACGACCTTCCAGACGTCCTTCCAGATGAAGCTGCGGCAGCATGGGCTGAGGGAGAGGCGGTTAGGGGGGATCAGGCAGGCAGGCGGAGGCAGTAGGGGCAATCATGCAGGCAAGTAGAGGGGTTAGGGCCGTGGTCGGCAAACTGCGCCTTGCAAACCACATATGGCTTTTTGGTCCCTTGAGTGTGGCTCTTTCACAAAATACCACAGCCTGGGCAAGTCTATTTTGAAGAAGTGGCGTTAAAAAAAGTTTAGGTTTAAAAAATTTGGCTCTCAAAAGAAATTTCAATTGTTGTATTGTTCATATTTAGCTCTGTTGACTAATGAGTTTGTGGACCACTGGGTTAGGGGCAATCGGGCAGGCAGCCATGTGGTTAGGGGTGATCAGGCAACAGGCCAGCAGTCCTGGATTGAGAGAGGGTGCAGGCCAGGCTGAGAGACCTCCCATCCCTGCACGAATTTCGTGCACTGAGCCTCTACTCAAATATAAAACGGTTTAGTAGAGCCTCTAATCTATTCATCGTGTTCTTCTTTTAAAAACAACTTAGTTTGTCTAAAAAATATTTTATCTTGCAATTGTTTTTCCAAATACATAATAAAAAGCTGAAAAGCTTAAGACAAATAAAGCAGGTTCTAAGCACCAGCTGCTGTGAACAGTCACAAAGCATGGTGAATTAGTGGGTCGTACCCGGCACCCGACAGACAGGGTTATCGTCGCCATCCTTCTCCAAAACCAGGTTCGTCAGGAAGTGCAAACCCACCACGCACTGGAGTAGGTGATGGATGCTGTCTATGCAGTTGCTGTGCAGGTCGATGTATCTAAGCTTATGTTTGATTCCATGAAGGGGCATCAAACCTGCAAGATGAAAAAACCCTGCTGATACCACAGCAGCAATTTCCCCAACAGCTCACGGAACACTTTACGTGGGTTCTACTTCGAGGCGAAGGTGTAGGGTGAGCGAGGCCTCGCTGTGAAGCTTCACCTTGTGGAGGGGTCAGTCAAGTCCGCTTGTTTTGAGAATAGAGGCCCCTGGTATGAGTTCCATTCAAACAAAACTCCTGTGCTTCCCAGGCCACGCAGGAACTTACAGAACAAGCAAGGCTCCAGGCTCCTTCCTGATAAGCAAACACTGAGTACATTTCCTTTGTTGGTTTGAGAATAAAATACAAATAGCATTTGATTTAGTCGCTGGTAATACCTGTAGCCCCAGCTTATCTGGGGAGTGGTAAGCCAGGAACCCCACCTGGACAGCCTCATGTGCCCCTGGAGTGCAGGCTGTCTTACTAGTGTGTTCATTTTGTTAATTAGATTCCACGTATGGTATTTGTCTTTTTCTGACTGGCTTATTTCATTTAGCATAATGCTCTCCAGATCCATTCATAATGTCCCAAAAGCTAAGAGATCCTTTTTTATGGCCACACTAGAGGCCTGTTGCACAAAGATTCACGCAATAGGCCTTCCCTCACCTGGCTACCGGCACCAGTTTTCCTTCAGCACCTGGGACTCAGGCCTTCGCTCTGGCCGGAGTCTTGGCTGACTCTGGCTGAAGTCTGGAGTCTTCGCTTCCCTCTGGCCGGAATCTTCGCTTTGCTCCAGCCAGAGCTGCTTCTGTAGCTCCCTCCACCCTCCCCCTCACTGCAGGCATCCTGTCCCGGTCAACTGCTCCACACCTGGAGGGCAGGGCAACCTCCATCTTTGTCCTGGTAATTAATTTGCATATTCCCCCCATTGGCTGGTGGGCATTGTGGAGGTAAGGTCAATTTACATATTTCTCTTTTATTAGTGTAGATTGTATTCCACAGTGTAAATGTACCACAGCTTTTTTATCCATACATCTAATGGAAACCTGGGCTGCTTCCAAAATCTTGGCTACTGTAAATAATGGTGCTATGAAAAGGGGGTTACTGGCTATTTCTCTTCCCTGTCTCAGAACTTGCTTCCAAGTGGAGCTTGCTGATCAAAGGTGCAGATCAAAAGTGTGCCTGCAGGGCTCCCTTCAGTGCTGGAGAAGGGGACTTGTCAGTGGACCACGGCCCAGCCTCCCTTCTCTTGGGGGGGCCATTCTGAGATGCAGCTGCACTGTCAGTTCCGCTCCACATCTCTGGCTGTCCCCGAGTGTCCCTCTCCAGGACCTCCCGCACTCTGGCAGTGTCAGGGCTGCAGTGTCACCAATGTACACACATACACTCATCACTGGTTGTCCCCTCCTCCAGCCACAGGCTCTCCAGGACCTCCCGCAATTTCATGATTGCAAACACCACTAATGTGCCAGATCTCAGCTCTAACCAAATACTCAACATACGTGTGCACACACACATCTCACTCCACCTCAAACCTGCTCCTTCCCAATCATCCCACATCAGGAAGCGGTGCCATCATGTGCCTGTTGCTTCAGAGAAAACTCAAGTTCATTGTCTTGGATTTCTTTCTCCTCCATTCCCTCATTGTACCCATCAGCAAGTCCTACGGCCTCCATCTGTAAAATATACTTATCCACCTCCCGTCTCCACCCAGTCCAGGTCTCACCTCTCCTCTGGACACCAGGAACAGCTTGGTGTCCCCCACTCCTGTCCTAACACCATCCTCCTCGTTCAGCCCAAGTGATTCTTAACACATGCACTGCGTCACTTGTTTAAAGCCCTCAAATGGCCACCGTTGTACCTGACAACATGCGAACATCACCCTTTTCCTACTTGCTCATCTCCTTCTGCACACGAACCCTATTTACTGTGCTCCAGGCACACTTCCTTCCTCTGCTTCAAGGTCCAACATGCTCACTGAGCCCTCGCGTGCCATATGCTCTAGCACACACACTGCCATGCTCTGCTCTCCAGCAAGGTGTTTCTGAATAAAATACATCATTCTAAGCATTAGCTATTAGAACTTCCAGGGTTGCCTACTACATTTTCTTCATATTCCTTCTCTCAGTCACTAAAATTCACACTTCTTAAGTATGGAGTCCCATGTGCTTTGCCCAACATATAGTTTATATAGTTTTTTTAACCATGACTAAGATATAGAACATTTATTTCCACCACCCCAATCAGGATGTCCCTATGTAGGCAATTTTCTCTCCCTGTGTTCAATCCCTGGCGACTGATGATCTGATTTCTGCCCCTATAACTCGTTGCCTTTGTTAGAATGGCACATATTAGATTCATACAGTGTAGCCTTTTGTGAATGCTTTCACTTAGCACAATTCCTTTTAGCTTCATCCATGTATCAATGGCTCATCCCTTTTTATTTCCTCCTGTGGCTATATCACAATTTATCTGTTTACCAGGTGATAGGTAAGTGGGTGGTTTCCAGTTTTTAGAGATTACAGATAATCATAGAAATCTGATTATATGAAAAGCTATATAAACATACAAACACTCATGTACAGGTCTCTGGTTAAACATATTTTCGTTTCTCTTCGGTAAATGCCTAGAGTGGGATTGTATATAAATGTACATGTAACCTTATAAGAAACCTTCAAACTGTTTTTCAAAGTCCTTATATTACTTTGAATTCTACCAGCAATTTACCAGTATATAAGTTCTAGATGCTCCACAATCGTTCCCTACAAGAACTTTATCTGTCCAGCCTGGCTGGTATAGCTCAGTGGTTGAGGGTCAACCCATGAACCAGGAGGTCATGGTTCAATTCCTCCTGGTCAGAGCACATGTCCTGATTGTGGGCTTGATCCCCAATAAGGGGTATGCAGGAGGCAGCCGATGGATGTCTCATAGGTATTTCCATCTCTCTATCCTCCCTTCGTCTCTCTCTAAAAATCAATAAAGAACATATTAAAAAAAAAAAAAGAACTCTATCTGTCCACAGGTGCTCTTTAATAAATATGTGTTAAGTAAATTATTATCATATCTAAGATTCATATTTTTCAGATAAGGAAATTTCATCCAAAAAGTAGCAGACTTTGCTCAACAGTGCACAGCAGTGACAGACCAACAGCCATTATTTGATCCTAATACTTACACATCTTTTGGGGGAAATTTAAAATACTGCTGCTACTTCAGTTTAAGGGCAGTGACAAGATCATTTCCTTTTTTGTCTATTAAACATTTGGCATAGGGTAGTATTTTTCTAGTAGGGGAGAAAACAAATGAATGAATAAGGCTGTTTCATATATGAAGACAATTAGATGACCTAGTTAAGCAATAATGTAATGAATAATTATGAAACTTTATCAATGTATCATTTTAATCAGTTAAAAAGTAGGTAATATTTTACCTTTTTAGACATACTGAAGTTAAAAAAAAAAAAAAGCACATATTTGATTTTCAATTTGTCATGGCCTTTGGGATGCTATACACCATACTGTCCAATCTGGTAGGACGGCCTCAGGTGGTTTTGGAATTTAAACTTAAATTTGATTGAAAGTAAATAAAACGACAAATCTAGTTCCTCGATGCACGAGGCACATTGCAAATGCTCGCCTGGCACACTGGGTGCCATGCCAGGCAGCACACACTTAGAATATTTTTATCACTGTAGGGAGTTCTATTGAAATTCTTCCTCTCTAGAATAGTATATTCATTAATTATCTAAGATTAAAATACCATTTCTCCCAAAGGAGGTCCTTCTTATCCAAGTTTGTCCTGTTATGGACCACCCAAGTTTTAATCCCAATTTTTCATTCAGCAGTAGCTTTGGTACCAACACATTCTCTAGATGAGATTTTTCATCAAAAATTGTATTATTTAGCTTTTTGACATGCTGAGCTCATCCTAACTCACCACACATAGCAAATATTCAGCAATATAGAAAAATTAGAGGCCTGCTGCATGAATTCATGCACGGGTGGGGCTCCTCAGCCTGTCTGGTGATCGGGGCTGTCTCACCCATAGCTCAGTCCCGATTGGGGCCGATTGGGGCCTATCGGGGCCGGCTGGGGCGGGGGGGGGGGGGGAGGGGGAAGAAGAACTGCAGGAGGTTGGCCAGCTGGCCCTGATGGGTGCCAATCAGGTTGGCCAGCCACAGGAGTTGGCTGTGGGAGCACACTGACCAACAGGAGAAGCTCCTGCATTGAGTGTCTGCCCACTGGTGGTCAGTGCATGTCATAGCGATCAGTCAAACAGTTGTAACAGTCGCTTAGGCTTTTATATATATAGATTAAGCACATTTACTTACCACTTAAATCATTTATGTGGTTATAGGATAAATTCAGTCTAGTCAGATTAATTAGTGCTTCAAGTCCTAAAAAAAATAAAACAAAGTTTTTACAGGATTCAATAATCAATATAATAAAGTTATATAATACTGCAATACTATTTCAGACCGTTTTGAAGCAAATCTACAGTCGAATTAAACAACAGTGAAATCAATTTTGTTGGTATTTTATAAAATACTTGAAAAAGGCTAATCACTCTTCTAGGAGAAAAATTTTTATATAAGAAATTTTAGGGTCATTTTTCAAAAGTTTACTATTTATCCCATTCTTTTGGGTAGGAAAAAAATGGACTTATATCATCTCCCTTATTTAAAGTTTTACATGAAAATCACTTACACACCTTCTACTTTTGTGATCAAATTGCAGGACAAATTTAAAGTGCGTAGTTTTGTCAGTGTGCTTAGCCCTTCTATTTGACTTATTTGATTAGATGACAAGTCTAAATGTTGTAAATTCCAGACATGGTCAATGGCTTCAATCTTCGAGATGTTGTTACAATGCAGATTGATGGCATGGAGGGTTGAATCTAAGGATAACTCTGATATGCTATAAAAAAAAAAATATGTACCATCAAACACAGTAAAAAATAATTTTGAAATCATAACCAAATAATTAAAATTAACCCAACAGCGTATATTTAACTGTGAGCTCTACTCATCTATAATAAAAGTGCAATATGCTAACTAGACCAGTCAGCCAGACTACCTTCAGGATGAAGCCAGAGCTACAAGGGCTGAGCCCCGCAAGAATTTCGTGCATCGGGCCTCTAGTTCTATAATGAAATCCTCTCTATGTGTAGTGGCTTGAAATGCCTCACAAGTATAGCAATTCCTATAACGAACCAGCATTTTGGGCCATTTATATAATCAAGAAACCCACTCAGAAGAGGCAGGTGATCCCTGGCATGTCTAGCTTCTTAACATGAAGTAATGAGCACACAGGGAAGGCACCAGTGCAAAGGCCCTGGGTCACACCCTACACTCCAGCTCAAAACCGCACTCTACTCCTTTTTTTTGCCGTTTCATGAGTTAACAGTCTCAATTTCCTCATCTCATTCAACTCTTTACAATACTAAACCATAGGAAACTAAGGAAACTGATATTTACAGAAATTAAATAACTTGTCCCAGTTCTTGTAGTTGTTACCTGAGCTGGTATAAATCCAGACCTGGCTCTGCAGATTACTGCTTCCCTCACTGTCCATAATGGCTGCTTAACCCAGGAGGCAGCCCATTTAAAAAGAAACCATGGGCACTGCCATTTCTCCCATCCAAGTACTAACCAGGCCCGACCCTGCTTAGCTTCCGAGATCAGACGAGATCGGGCGCGTTCAGGGTGGTGTGGCCGTAGACTGGGCACTGCAATTTCTATTGAAAAAGTGCTTGTCCTGCTTGTTGACTTGGACTGTACCTGCGCTAAATGGAACCCATCTCTTCTTTCTCTCAGTTTGTGTCCTTTAAACCAGAGCCCCTCTGAAACAGCCCTCCCAGGACCCAGGAATACCATGTACACAGCTCAGAAGGATGGAAGCAAGGGCATGGCACTGGCTCCATATTCAGCGTCCCTCCACAGAAAGGGATACAGCTCTTCTAAATGTCAAACTATTATAGCAACCTCTCCTGGTCTGACTGTTCCAAATATTTCCCAGTTACCTCGCCTCTGTCATTTACTGAGCTGTTTACTTAGTCCAGACCGTATACTATTAATACGTGTTCTTAATATCATTTACTTTCCAAAACATCTCTGCTTCTGGAAATTCAAAGTGTGCAGGTCATGTGGCACAGTAGAAAAAGCGGAGAGTGAAATCGGATGGAAATGGGTTTGAATTTGAACTTAGTTGCTCAGCAGCTGCGAGGCTGGGAGAGTTATTTACATCCTCTGGCCTCAGATTTGTCACATGCAAAATTACCACCTTGCGGAACTGTTGTGAGGATCCGTGACAATATATGTAACATGCACACAGCGATGGCATTCGGTAAATGACAGCTACTATTAAACATAAATATTCCTTTGAAAAACATCTGGCAAATTCCAGACCAGGGTGTAGACAAGATGCTGTAACTAGCAGCAGACAGGCACACACAGAGCAAGGGTCGCCAAGGACAGCCCGCGCCCAGGCACAAAGGAGCGGAGGCGGGAAACGGGAAAAGGTAGAGGAAGGGCTGCGAGGTGCGCGGGGCAGCCGGGCGCCGGGACGGGGCGGTGCTCCCAGCGGGCTGCAGGGTGGAGGCGGGGGCTGGCTCAGAAGGGCTGGCTCAGTACTTGCAAGAAGCACGTGAACGCCTGCGTCGCGGGCTCTGCAAAGGGCGACTGGAGCCGGGAGGTGACCGCGGGGCCGGGTCAGAGAAGGGGCGGCGCAGAGCCGGGCAGAACTGGAGGGACAGGGACCCCTCGGCGGGCGGCCGCCCGGAGCTCAGCGGGGTCGGGGAGGGCGGGAGCGTGCGGTTTCGGGGCGGGTCCGGCGCCGCCGCCCGGCCGGCGCGCCCTTCACCTCCGCAGGCCTTTGTCCATGCAGCACAGGTCCCCACAGTTGCTGTCGCCGTCCTCATTCTCCACCTCCGCCTGCCCCGGCGCCTCCATGGCCGCGGCGGGTGTCTCAACCGGCGCCGGCGCTGGGTCCGCCCTCCCGGAACACGCCTCCCGGAAGTGCGGCCCGCGGGGCGGGGCCAGGCCGCTCCAACCGACCGCGCTTTCCCGCCGGCGGGTGGCGGAACCGGAAGTCAGCGCCTCCGCGCCCCGGGCTTCCCTGCCTTTCCGGCAGCCTTGACCCCCGCCTGGCACTTGCTTCCGGTGCGAGGCATAGGGAAAGCTAGGGGCTGGCCAGGGGCTCCCAGGTGCCATTTGTTTGCGTGGCGGCCCGGGGCGGCCGCTTTCCCCGCAGCTGCCTGCAGGCCCGCAGCCTCCTCCCAGGTGTCCCGGGGGCCCATGCTCGCCCCGGGAGCTTTCACTATTGAGTGTGGGAAACCTGTGCGAGGTGAGCACTATCGGAGGTAACTTTCATTCCGTCGTGACCAGAGCTTACAGTTCTGATTTGTTGCTTTTGGTAAAGTGCCGTTGTTGAAATCAACCTATCCTCATCCTTAAACTTAAGGAACGAGTGTACAACAATTACATCCTTTTTAACATCATGTTCTGAAAAATAGTTTTTTGCCCATTAGATGACAACTAGAATATTTGCAAGCATTATTACTTTTTAAAATTATTTTTATTGATTTCAGAGAGAGAGGGAGAGAGAGAGAAATATCAATGATGAGAATGATTGATCGGCTGCTTCCTGCACACCCCTACCAGGGGTTGAGCCTGCAACCTGGGCATGTGTCCTGACCAGGAATGGAACATAACCTGGCTCATAGGTAGAGCCATAACCTCCTGTCTTACTAAGCACACTGGTAGGGCTGTGCAAACATTTTACAGGCCTTTATTTAGGTAGTCCCCTGACCGTGGAAAACAACTTGTGACTACTCGGGATCAACTACAACCCGATGATGATTGTGGAACAACTGACCTCATTCCCAAGCCCTACACCCATCCCAAGACCCCCTATATAATCCATCCACAAAACCTTCAAGGAGATTGGCTCTCTTTCGTTCAACTTTCTGTATGTAGGCTCTTTTCAATAAGCTGGACTGACTGATAATATAATAAGTTCAGTGCTTATTTCTATAGTAAGACTCTGAGAAGGCAGGGCGGGGTGAGGATGAGCTCCCGACTCCGCCCCGCAGGGCGGAGTTATCCCTAGCCCTCACCCAACCAATCAGGGTTAGCCGAGGCAGTGACATCACCATCGACCGGAGTAAAAAACCCCTGGACTGGAAGAAATTCTCTCTCTTCCGCCATGCTGCCGGCGTGAGTGGGGGGCCCATGCTAGCATGGTAAAGGCTCTTTTGTTTATTGCATCGGACTCGGCTCCCTGGTGGTCCTTGGGGATCACGAAGTCTGGGCGTAACATATGGGGGCTCATGCGGGATCCCCAGCAGGATCATAAGGAACCCGATCCGGAGAGTCTGACTGGCCGCGGTAGGTGTGTGCGCGCTCTGGAGGGACGTAAAATCCCTCATGGAATTGGTGCCCGAAAACGCCTGGTGGACGCACCATGAAGGCCACGGGCAGGAGGATCAGAAGACGTTCTGATCTCCCTGGAGGGCCCTAGAGGGACCCTCATGGGGAGAGGAATGAATCCTCTCCAGGACGAGGTGAGCGGCATGAGCCGTTACCTCACCTGCGGAAAGTGAGCCTTTCCCAGGTCTGAGTTTGGTATCTGCGAGTGAAATGGCGCCCCAGGATGGAGCCGGCAAAGTGTGGCCGGCGTGGCGGTGCGGGGCCCCCTGGCGGCGTTGGGCCGGAGGGGGGGCTCCCGCGGGGCTCAGTCTGCGCGGTGGAGCGCGGCTGGGCAGTGGTGGCCTCGCTCGGGGAGCAGGCACCTGGGTTAATTTGCTGGCTGCCTGGAGAAGGGGAGGTGGAGCCGGGAAGCCGCTGGGGCGACCCGCGCTTTCTCCTCGGGGGCTGCCTGAGTAGCGTGGCTGGGACGGCCAAAGCAGCCTGGCTCTGGGGGTCTGGGCCCTGGGGGCCTGGGCTGGCGTGGAGGCCTCGGGTCTGTGGCAACATCCTATGGAAGAAGAGCTCAAGGGCGAATCTCTGTGCTCAGTAAAGAGAAAAGGCCAGTTCAAAACGAGTGTGCATAGTTTTGGGCTGTGCTTAAAACGTTTTTCTGGGTACAGAATAAGTTTTAAAAGTGGTGGAGATAACTGGGAGATAAATTAAAACTGGTTTCCCAAGTCATTGTACCAGCTTTTGCAATTCCCCACCTTGAGGCGGAAACTAGATGGTAATGGCCATGGCCGGGAGTCTTCAGCTAAAGAATGTGTTCATTTGCATTTGAATTCCAGTGATCTGCAGGGTGTGGCAAGTGATAATGTGGTGAAGCTACCTAGATAGCCTTGCATACAATGTTTAGCTTCCTTGTCATTGGTATCAGCTAAGCAGGATGTATTAGAAATGTAATGTTATTAATCTAAAAAAAATGCCAAATATATTTGACTTGTCAGCTTTAAAAGTTAAAAGTATAAATTGAATTAGGAAAAGTTAATTGCAGTAACTAGATGCCTAGAATATGACAGGCTAAACTGTATTATGTGTTAAGGATAAGCAGTAATGATCGAATATCTGAAGGATTGATTTATTTTCATTTGTCAGATGAAAAAGTATGTAATGCTTAAACTTAAAAAATTGTTTTAAGTCAGTTTTTCTGAAGTCATGTTTAATGTAACATATGAAACTTTTATATTTGATCTGTTTTGTTTTGCTTTGCATTGTAAGTTTGAATTTGGGCTTGTACCTGCATTTTGTATTTTGTATAAACTTTGGGAATCATTTTTGGTTTCAGTCATGTGCGTAGTTTTAAGTAGACTTCATCACAAAGGTTTATAATTTATTTAGAATTGTGTTAAAACAATTATTTGTATGATTTAACCCCCTGTGACTGCTTGGACAATTTTCACCGATGTTCTGCGGGGGGAGTAGAGGAGGCTTAGAAGTGCAGATAAACCTGTATCTGTAGGGAAAATGTGGCATTTTAAATTTCAAGCGGCTTGAGGCCTGGGAACAGAGTACTGGACCTGCTCCCTCCTCCCTTGCCTTTAAAATTTGAGGCATAGTTATATAGAAAGAAAGTTTAGAAATTGATTTGAAATTAAAAGGCCAGCAACTAATAGGAAGGAATTAGTATGTTTATTGTAGAAAGCAGGGAGCATCCTTGGACATCGAAGAAGGACTATTGACCTAAGAAGGAACATGTACTGAAGGAAAGTGGCCGCTGAACTGGACAATGGGCCTTTGAGGAGTTAAAGGAGGCTCTCATCTCAGCAGCTGCCCTAGCCTTTCCAGACGTCATGAAGCCTTTCCACCTCTACGTGAGTGAGGTAAGAGGCTTTGCCAAAGAGGTTCTCACTTAGACTCTAGGTCCCTGGAAGAGACCTGTTGCCTATCTGTCTAAGAGACTGGACCCTGTGGCAGCGGGGTGGCCAGCGTGCTTCCAAGCAGTGGCCACCACAGCATTGCTGGTGAAGGAGGCAGATAAGTGGACTCTGGACCAGGAGCTAACCTGGATGGGTCAGGCTTTTCTCCTGGACCAGCCCTGTGTCCGGATTCATAAGACTCTGGCCATCAACCTTGCCAGCCTGCTTCCAGATGATGATGGAGGAACCCATTCATGACTGCACAGAGGTAACAGACACACAAGGTACTGTTCACGGATGGGAGCAGTTATGTTCAGAATGGGACCTGATATGCAGGGGCAGTGGTAGTCACTCTGGACCACACCATTTGGGCACAGTTCCAGAACTTTTGGCCTTAATCCGGGCCCTTTGATGGAGACACTGTGCCATCCACAGAGAAAAGAGGGTTACCAACTGCAGCCGGAAGGAATCGGCTGAACATAAGCAAGCCACTGAAGGACCAGATGGTTGATGGACCCTCCAGATGACAAGACTGTTGGTCCCAGAGGCTCTAGGTCAAGTTGCCCGGTGACACCAGGTTAAGTGTCACCAAAACTTCTGAACTTCTGTGAGGCAGAGTTGCTAGAAGTATTGTCTGTACACAGGTAAATGCTAAGCAAGGATAAGGGGGTCCCCCTGGGAATTCGGGTCCAGGGAACTTCCCCAGGAGAGCATTGGTAGGTGGATTTCGAAGATTAAACCACCAGCATTAAAGTCTAGTTTTTGTAGACACTTCAGATTAGGTTGAAGTATACTCCACTAAGACAGAAACTGCCTCTATAGTAGTCACGAGATTACTCCAGGAGATTATAGATTTGGGCTGCCAGTATCAGATAACAGCCCCACCTTGGTAGCTAAGGTATCTCAGAGTATAGCTCTAGCCTTAAGACAGGAAAAGTAAGACTAGAAAAAGGGATTTAATTAAATGTGTCCTAGAATCGGTGAAAATTGGACCAACCCCCTGTCCTTTGCCCTCTTGAGGGCCAGGTGTACCCCTTACTAGGACAAGTTTCCCTTTTTTGGGAGGGGATCATGTATGGTAACCATTCCCTTGCTCAAGTCCTTACAGGTTCTGCAGTTTGCTTGTTCCAGATGCACTGCCAGTGCCCACCGCAGACCCTGTAGCTCCGGAACTCAATGTGGGTGAAGAAATTCGCTGCCCAAGGACTCAAAGGCATGCTGCACTGTTATCCTGAGCACGCCCACTGCTGTTGAAGTAGATGGCACCCAGACCTGACTACATGACTCCCAGTTCCTGCATGGCCTGGATCCTGGCAACTACAGGCCAGGAGGAGAACTGATGCCTGCAGGAGAGGAACTGGACTTAGTGAGGACAATACCGATGGGAACTGTGGTACTAAGGGTCTTGGTAACTGTATTTGTTGTTTATGCTGAAAGGAAGTATGCTGAGTCAATGATTTGACTAGGCACATTAGACAAGGGGGGAATGAGAAGGCAGGGCAGGGTGAGGATGAGCTCCCGATTCCGCCCCGCAGGGCGGAGTTATCCCTAGCCCTCACCCAACCAATCAGGGTTAGCCGAGGCAGTGACATCACCATCGACCGGAGTAAAAAACCCCTGGACTGG